TTACAGGAGCTATAAGAGTTACAGGAGCTATAAGAGTTACAAGAGTTACAGGAGTTACAAGAGTTACAAGAGTTACAAGAGTTACAAGAGTTACAAGAGTTACAAGAGTTACAAGAGTTACAGGAGTTACAAAGATTTACAGGAGTTACAGGAGTTACAAGAGTTATAAGAGTTACAGGAGTTACAAAGATTTACTACGTAGTACTTAGGCCTGTACCGTGGTAAGTTTCCATATCGTAAAGAGTAGAGCGTTGAGCAAGTGGTCGTTATGATTGGTGGACGCGTAATTGTTAATTGATTAATTAATCTACGAAGTGGGTAACGCGTCTGCGTTAATATCCCGGCGCCGAAGTTACTTCAAGTACAGTAGTACCTAGTCCCCCTTCTTTCTCTTAATTCGAGCCGACCCGTTCCGAAGTTTCATAGATTGACATGGGAATAAAAGTCTTGGCACGTTCAGAAATCCTGCCAGACCGGTATAGAATAGTCTCACGTGATTAGATAACTAACCACCACAACTACTAGAATCTATCTTGGGTCACCGTTGGTAATAGTAAATAGAAAATCAGTCAACTATTATGTCGTAGTTATCTCTGTATAGAAAGATGCACCGTATTGAGTTTAATGTTAATCAATTGATTAACTTTTAATTATAAGTTGTTATTCCTCCTTTATTGTTTTGGATTAAAGTAGTAAAAATAGTACTTTTGATGTGTGGTTTTCGACTTTACTTGTGCGAATATATCAGAATTGCTGTGTAAATACTAGAATAAGCGAAGAACACGAAAGTCGGATTTTTATTCAAACCTATCAAAAAAATACATGCATCACCACCAAATTTAATGCAATAATCAAAACCTTTAGAAACAGAATAGATGCGCATTGACGCACTTTAGGAATGCTGGACTGGGAAATGGAGGTATCGGAGTTAATGACTCGTGATCGGATTTAATGGCACGTGCAGTAGCCCGCGCACCTTTGGCACCATTACTACTTGGTACAGTGTATTTCTTCTTCCCCGCTCGGGACCACTCGCTCGCTGGCAGCATGTATACCTCTGTATAGCGACTATCTTCATCGGTCGGACTCTTACCGCTCGGTCATGATTTCTACCCTATAACCTTGACCGTAACGTGAAGAGAGGTGTTCAAGGCCTCGTTAATGAAATATCTTTGGGAAAACTTTACGAAGGGCCGCCAACAGGCATAACGAGGACTTGGCCGTGATGTGTGAGCATGCGGTGCCCATGCCGTGGCGGATGGAAAATGGGGTGTTTAGAGCGACGGGCTTGGATGTCGATGTTGCAGTCACCAGGGGTTCCAGCGGTCAGGAATCTAAGGGTGGCGATAATGGGGAAAAGTAGACGGACGGGCTTTTGTGAGCGGAGGGAGCAAGGGAGGAACGTCGGGGACAAAGGCTCTTGTGGGAGGTACGCTGCACGTTGCGTTGACTCAGGCTAGGAGAGAAGGGCTTGGAAGCAAATAGAAGAGATCTCTGGGAAGGTTTTAAAGATGGAGCATTCTAAGATTGACGCCTCATCCTCCCCGTTCCACCATTTGAGGTTCTCAAGCACCATGCAGGCTTCTCGTCCGCAACTCTAGGTGCTGCTCGTTCCATCCTCTGGTCCTGGGAGACCCTCCTCGTCGCCTGGCTCTCTGTAACTGCCGCTTGGCTTCGCACCTCGGGTCTTCCCCTCGATGATGTTGGACTCGTCAATAGCTTCATTGTCGTCGCGTACTTCTGTACGTTAGTCTATACATTCTTCGAGGATCGAAGGGGGGAGATGGAGGAGGAGTCCTTACCGAGCTGCTCGTCACTGTCAGCGGTCTCTGGGTCGATTGGGTCCTCAACGGGAGCGTCATCCGACTGAACTGGGATGCCGGCCTCCTTCTGGCCTGGCCGAGAGACATAGTCGTTGTCTTGTGCATCGCCGCGGGGGATGTCTTGGGAAGACATGGTCAGGTGTGTGTATGTGATAGGGGCTTGAGTACTGAAGTCTCAAATGGGATTCGCGTTTTTGGAGTTTGAAGCAGTGAGTACTTCGCGAGGAACCGGAATGATACTGATATGGTTTTTATACAACATAGTTATATACAGTACATGACCACGGCCCTCAAACCCTGATCAATCAAATCAGGCACATATGCCGAGGAATGTCTTGTGTTGATGTCATTCCATGTCTTTGCTCCCGCACGCGCACGGAAGCCGTTGTCGCGACTGCCACGCGAAAGCACGGGATCACGCTCTGAATGTGATGCTTTTCATCTGACGATCTTGTTGGGGGGTCTCAGCTCAGGATGGACCCCCGCAATGGACTAATTCGATATGGAAGCGTCATGATGCGGATGATGCGGGAAGAGGGATCAGCGAGAAGCATCCAGCCGTGCCAGCCGTGCCTCAAAGGCTAAGCGAGAAGAGGCGTTGAGACCAGGAAGCAGATACCTATGTCGTGGGGGAAGATTGCAGAAGGAGGGACGGGGGCGAAGGTGTTTGTGTGATTGGAGGCATCAGGCCTCCGCCTTGACTATACAGAATACAGATAGGTACACACCCTACCTGCGCTCGTCCCCATCGTACCGTCCAACCGTCCAACCGTCCAACCGTTGGTCGGAACGGTGGTCCAGCGTGTCCGCCTGTCCGCCTGTCCGCCTGCTTCCCGCTCGGCTCTGGTGACGGAGCATATTCGCCTCCTCCTGTTTGCTGCCTTTGAGACTGATTCAGATGACTCCTTCCACTTCCAGAACAGCCAGGCAATACGTCTCATCCGGGGCTCTGGTCAACGGTCATGTTTGCCCGGCCCCTGCGAAGACGCCCAATCGAGACCGAGACCTAGACTCATGTTCAAAGAGGAAGAATGATGTAACGCCGAGCTGACCGGACTAAGCATTGGGGACTGGGGACTGCTGGAATTTCTGTCTATATAAACAGACAGCTCTCCCACCGCTATGGATTTGCAACTTCAACCCACCCTCCACAGTCACATCTGCCATCCTCACTGGACACTCCCACGATAAACCAAATCCTACCAGTCAACAACAAACAACCATCCAACATGTCCGATACCTACAAACCAACTGGTAAGTTCACAACCCCCCTCCACAGCTCCCCCGTCCCCTTCTTTCAGCCTCACTTGGCATCAATCTTACGGCAAACACTGACAACCACCACAGAGCACGGAGGCCGTAAGTCGACGAGAAGTCACATTCTGCGGCTCTCATGCTGTCCAGTCTCCATGCATCTTCAAATCGTCCCCAGAAAATGTACAACAGGTCAGATGCTGACTCCACCGTGATCTAGTCAAGGAGGACGGAACCCCCGACAAGCGTGTCGGAACTGGCCAGTTCGCACAGGGCAAAGTCGACCCCGCGGAGGCAGGTGCACAGGGTGGAAAGTCCTCTGGAGGTAGCGATACCTCGGACAGCAGTGGTGGTAAAGGCCGTACGTATCCCCCCACCGGTCTCGGCCACTGTGACGGTGAAGCTGACACATGACGTAGAATTTGCTGGCGGAAAGGTCGATCCTGTTGAGGCTGGCCGCAAGGGTGGAAAGGCTTCTGGAGGAAGCAGCGACGAGTAGAGGTACCGTACTCTGCCGTCACATTGAGAAGCTGTGTGGAAAGCACTACCCGGACACGGTAATATCATGAATCGACGAGAACGATCAATTGTATCTTAATGACGCACTTGCACTTACGGGTAGAGCACAAGCTCGACAAGCTATTTGCAGAGTGAAATAAAAGTTTTCTGTATCTCAAATTTGGACAGATTGAGGCTGAAGCAGGTCAAGAGAGGCAGACTATTTACTTCGGCCTGGAATGGACCTGTAGCAACACGTGTATTGCCTTTACGTAGCGTTCCCTCTCTGATCTGATTACCACGACGTCGAATCTCCCACAGAGCAGAACGCAGGAAAGCATTGGTTATTGCGAGCCTCTCTGACAGGTGCGGGATCTTCCAGAGGTATTGGTCATCGAAGGGTTCACATCTGCTCTCGCTTGAAGGTTATCTCCGTATCACCTCGGCATTCACAATGTTGACGCTCGTACGTACAGTAACTTCAAGCTTGGAATTTAGCCCGGGTTAATACTTATTCCGTAGTGGGGCAGAGCGGGTACCCTTGTCAGTGGGATACGCTGAAAATAAGTCCGTGATGGAATTTCTGAAATCGCAAAATCTTGGGACAGAATCGTCCAAAGCCACGTCCCGTCCCACACATCATCTTCTTTTGCGCACACAACCCCAATGCTGCAATGCTCTCACAAACTACTCCGAATTTCCAAGCCTAGAATTTCTGCAAAATTCTGCAGGCGACCTTACAATTTTCGGCCGATCGCCATGGAGCCCACAGAACCAGCTCCTGTAGGAGGGGCCCCAGACACCAGGAAGAGGCCGTTCCAGGGAGGCAGAGAACCCAAGAGACAGCGAACGAGAAAGGAGAAACCAGTGCAAGAAGGATCCAAGGATGAGGTGCTCATTGCAGACGTTCGCGCCCTATTTGCAGCTCAAAAGCTCTCCGACAGCCCGAGGACGATGGAGCTCGAAGCTTCTTCCTTGGAAGCCACGACAGGAACCAAAGTCGAGCCGCAGGGCAAGGATGCTGCTGCTGCCATCGGGAACGCTGGTCTGCCCGAGCCGTTCTCAGAGACCGAAGTCGAAGTCCTCGAAATTTCCTCGACCGGCGATGGCCTTGCGAGGCACCCTTCGTCGGACCAAATATACGTCGTCCCCTTTGGTACCCCGGGCGACGTCTTGAGGGTAAAAGTCATCAGACATTACCAGGCCGAGCATTATACCCTGGCAGACTATATATCAGTGGTGAAGCCAGGACCTCTTCGGGACGATACACGGGTCAATTGCCAATACTTTACCAGATGTTCCGGGTGCCAATTCCAAATGCTGGACTACTCCGAACAGTTGAAGCACAAGAAGACCATCGTAGAGAAGGCTTTCAAGAACTTTTCTCAGCTACCGCCCGAATTGGTCCCTGTCATCGGAGACACCATCGGCAGCCCGCTACAATACGAGTACCGGACAAAGCTCACACCACATTTCGACGGACCCAAGGGGTATATCAGCAAGAAGGACAAGATGAGAGGTGTTCGAAACTACTTTGACGAGGTTCCAGATATTGGATTTATGCAGAAGGGCCTGAAAAGAACTCTGGACATCGAGGACTGCCCGATTGGAACCGATGCTGTCAGAATGGGAATGAAACGAGAGAGACTAAGAGTCGCCACAGATTTGAAGAAATACGCCAAAGGAGCCACGATTCTTCTGCGCGAGAGCACCATGAGAGTGCAGAACGATTCCGAAGAGGCATCAAAGGAATTGCCCGATACAATCAAGAAAACGACTCCAACCCATACAGACTTCAAGTCCTGCATAACGGATAATAATGCCACATCAACGGAATACATCGACAATTTCGTCTTCAATAGTGTTGCCGGATCCTTCTTCCAGAACAACAACTCGATCTTGCCAGTCTTCACACAATATATTCGGGACCATATCATGCCACCTCCGTCTTCTACGGGACCTCGAATCAAGCACTTGATTGACGCCTATTCTGGATCAGGACTCTTCACCATTACTCTCTCCTCTCTCTTCACAACCTCAACTGGTATCGATATCTCTGTCGCCTCTATCGCCTCAGCACGCGAGAACGCCAAACTTAATAATTTGCCTCCATCTCAGTGTTCTTTCATCGCCGCAGATGCGCCAGAATTATTCAAGTCTGTCACGTACCCCAGGGATGAGACAGTTGTGGTACTGGACCCGCCCAGAAAGGGGTGTGATGAAAGCTTCCTATCTCAGCTGCTAAGCTTTGGGCCGAGGAGGGTGGTGTATGTGAGCTGCAATGTTCATACCCAGGCTAGAGACGTGGGTGTGATGGTAAGGGGATTGGAGAACGGGGGGACGCGATATAGGATTGAGTCCTTGAGAGGCTTTGACTTCTTCCCCCAGACCGGACATGTGGAGGGAGTCTGTGTGCTGAGCAGAGTGGACGATGATGAAGTGAAGGTGGAAGCATCTGAGTAAATCAGCGACTGCGTTCAGGTCTGTCCGTAGCTGTATATTAGCTCGCTACTTTCGGAAGGACAAATTCATAGACGAAACAGAATCCGATCACATCTTTCCTTCCACTTTTGACTCCTTTGTGTTGCCTTGCCCTATCTGGCAAATTAATTCTCCCTCCTAGAGTCGTTGCATTTTTATTGCACTGTTTCATACCTCAGAGGACAAAATAATTGTATATCTTCACTTACCTCAATATCAGGCGCTCCTCAAAGAGAACAGTCAGCTGAGGTACTAAATCGAGTTTTTCCCTAAGAAAAACTATTTATCTATTGGCTGCAGCAGGTCAAATTGGGGTTTGGATAGGGTGGTTAGGCAGCTGGCTTCTCCATCAATCACACACAGCAACTCGGTTTCTCCAAATCCCAGAGCCAAGCTCAAGGCCAAGCAACTTTTCCGCTACCCCTTTTCCACGCGAGCCGAGCCGACTAATTCTGGGTCCAAATTGTTACGAAACCCAGTCTACGAAGTACGGATGCGAGTTTCATGCCAAAAAAAGGAAGCATTTGGGTTACGGAATGTGCAAGGTCAATTTAATCCCCGATCTCCGATTGGGTCTTCCCAGGGTCAGCACTGCTTGGGTTGTCTCTGGTATACCTCTCTGGGGGGATATCGATATCAGGGTCGGATCAGCATGCTTGACTGGAAAAAGAGCTTAAGAGCTGTGGTCTTTCCTGGATCGTGGAGGTGATCGGAGAGTTGAATCACTTGCTCGATTTTTTTTTGGCTTGCTTCACTTTCTTTCTTCACTTTCCTCACTTTCTTTCTGTCTTTTCTTTCTGTCTTTCTTTCTTTTTCTTTCTTTCCATGTTCCCCACGTTCTTTCTGCCAGTGAATGGGTATCTTCACAAACAATCGTTTCTGCACGCACTCGAACACGCCAAGTACATAGAAATGGCTGGAACGGAAATGGGCAAACCGTCACTGGGATCTCTGCCAGTACCGTTTACGGATCAAGCCACAGGTCTCATAGATGTAAGTGGTGCAACAACCTCTTGGGATCTCCAGCCCCCGCGAGTCCGCGAATCGTCTGTCTGATGAGGTATCAACTCCAGACACCAGAACAACAGGTCACGCCCAAGGCCTCTATCTCGTACCTGAGAAGGCGCGACTCTGCTCGGTCCCAGACTCCACCGGAGAAGGGTCCTAGCTATCAGCGTGTTGAAGAAATCAATATCGATGACGAGAAACTCTTTCTGGGATGTGAAAAGGGGGGAGAGAGGCTTGAGCAGAACGAGCTGTTGACGTGGGATGAGATCGGTAAGTGATCAGGCTGGTATCACGGTGTTGCTGTTGTTATTGCTGCTAACAGCTGGAATTCAAGAGTTTTGGCAGCAGTAAGTCTCTCGTATGCGTGGATGGGGGTCATCTACACCACGTCTGAAGCTCCACAGAGACAACGAGTACATCACATCCGGATATCGGTAAGGACATCCACTCCACACTCCTTGTCGACCCCCGCATTCTAACGGGAGCAGAGCACCCTCGAGATCCATCTGCAAGTCTCTGAAGAGCCTCTTTCGTATCCATAATGAGACAGGTACTCACTCACCCTCCTTCCTTCCCCGGCTTTCCTCCAAGGGGAAAAAAAAAAAAAAAACAAAAAAAAAAAAACCTTCGCTTACGCAACCATCTGTTCAAGTAAACATCTACTCGCACCTCCTCGGCGGCCTCCTCTTCACTTGCCTACCCCTCCTCATCAGCAGCCAAATCTCCACACGCTACCCCGACGTCGGCCTAGGCGACATCATCGTCTTCTCGATGTTCTTCTTCGGAGTCGCGACATGTTTCCTGTTATCCGCTGCGTAGGTTCCACAATCCCCTTCTACTCTCTCTTTTTTCAGAAGAGAAAATGGCCTCCCGAAGTGTAGGCTTACCGAGCGAACAAACCTCCTAACCGAGAACCAGCTTCCACACGTTGAGTAACCACAGCGAAACGGTAGCCACGCAAGGGAACCAGCTCGACTACCTCGGCATCGTGATCTTGATGTGGGGATCCACCATCCCTTCCGTCTACTACGGTTTCTGGTGCAATCCTGAACTACAGAAGCTGTATTGGGGCGCGGTGCGTCTCTCTCTCTTTCTCTCCCCCTCTGTCTGAATTTCCACACCCACGGTTCCCCCCAAGCAGCGAGCATCGACTGATGGAGAGAGCCAGGTCACGCTGCTGGCATCGCTATGCACAGTAGCAACTTTCTCTTCTCGATTCAACAGTCCCGGTCTGAGACCGTGGAGGGCAGGTATGTATGCCTGTCTCGGGCTCTGCGCACTCGTGTTCGTCGTCCATGGCCTGGTGTTGCACGGCTGGGAGGTCCAGCGGAGGAGGATGGGGCTGGAGTGGATGGGCGTCATGACGGCGCTCAATCTGGTAGGCGCGGCGGTGTATGTGTGGAGGGTATGTTCCCCTCCGTCTAATTTTCTGCAGGGAGACAGATCTGGTGGAGGGTGGGTGTGAGGTGAGCATCGGCAGCGGCTGACGAGAAGCAGATCCCAGAACGGTGGGTACCGATGAAGTGCGATATTTATGGGAGTAGCCACCAGATCTTCCATGTCATGGTGGTGTTTGCAGGGCTGGCGCACATGTTTGGATTGTTCGGGGCGTTTGAGTATGTAAAGGGGGAGCAGAACAAGTGTGTGCTTTTGTAGGTAGGGTCGTTGGAGAGTAGAGGTGTCGTATAGGATGTATTTATGTCACATAGGAAGATGCAACATATCAAAAGGAGTAGTTCCTCTTCGGAGAAGTCCTGAAAAGCCCAAGGAAATGAAGAGCTGGCATTGCGAAGCGAATACACCCGACTACGCTGACAAGGAGTACTTTGGTATCTCCTTATACCACCCAACTAACGCCGCTGCATGAAAATGCAGATTCAAGGGTATCATCCTAATGTTCTCTGCCCAAACTCCATGATGACCCAAAATGGTGTACATATGAGTGAATTTCAATCCGAGTCGTAATCCACCAAACCAACAGTTGCCGTGTCAGTTGGAGTATTCTTTGGCTCTAGTCTCTTGCGCTTCACACCTGCCAAGATCGGGGTACCCTTAGGTACAGAACGAGTACCTATGAGGAATGGATCCATCGCAGCTCTGGTATTATCTCGAATTTCAGCGACCAAGTCCGCGGTCTTCTGTTTTGCAAGATCTGCTGCTTCCCGCCGTTTCGACACCTTTCTGCTCTTAGCTTTCTTCGCAACGGGCTCTTGCATGAATAGCGGCTTGGAAATAGCTTTGCTCAGAGCAACACTCCCGTCAACCTCACCAAACTCGATCAAACCAGCTCTGCGCACATCTTCTTCATGCTCAGGAAGAATATCAAGCCCTAGGCTCATTTTGTCCTGTAAAGATGCAGCGACAACTGCCTCCGCTTCCCTCTGCTTTCTCCCCACCCGAAACGCACTCCTCAACCTCTTGTTCTGCTCATACGGGTCTTCCCACTGTTGCTCGGACAGATCCTGTAATTCCTCCAGCCTTTTTTTGCTGCACTCCAACTTCTTTTTGTCTTCCACCTTTCCCTCCAAGGCAGCAAATGCATTAGCCCTTAGTGCCTCCCTCTCCTCCTGTGTCAGAATCTTTACATCGCCTTCTTCAACTTTGTCCTCTCCCAGGTCTCGCTTTCTTGCCCCTTCTGTGACCACGTAAGCCGTGTTTTTGGGATCCGTCCGAATTTCAATCCAACCTCCGCAGGCGACATGCTTCATGCGAAAACTGAATATCGGTGACGAATAGTAATTTCCGACCTTCTTTTTCTCGGCGTTGAAACGCACACCTTGTCCGATGATCGTGGGTTTCGGACAGTGCGTACACCATATTGGATAGGGCATCTCAAACCGGACCGTGAGAATGCCCTGGGATATCTTGTTCGCCCGAGCACCCAGAGCATGCTTCCCATGCAGCTTGTTTCCGCTCATCAGGCCCTCTTGATCCGGGGGGACATATCGTCCCATATTAAAGCCCTGCATGGCGGCAAAGTTGCAAGTTTTCTCCGCTGTGGTTGATCTGTGATGGTGTTGTGGCGATCTTGACAGTCAAGACTGAGCATGATATTCGCGAATTATACCGGAGCTGTCGCCAAGGCCTGATTACATAGCGCATTTATCTCCGCCACAGCCTCGCTCCAACCCCACCGAAATCAACAACCTCAACAACCCGAATATTCTTTGAACCCAGACACGAATCTCGAATAGGCGGCCGTTGATCAGGTAACGGAAAGGATAAGCATATACTCAAGAATCAAGCCGAGTTTCGTCGTTCCTCGACAAGATGAGTAGCGAAATAGCCGCCTTCGAAAATGAGATCAGGGAGTACAAGTTACAGGTTCGCAATATTCTGTCGTCTACCTTGGGGAATCGACAGCTAAATCTCAATAGATGGAGACAGTCCAACTTGGACTCCAGGCAGACCCAGATAATGCAGATCTTCATGAACTCAAGGCTGAACTCGAACAAGTCATTGCCCTCACCGAAGCTACGATCGCAGAGCTAAAGCCTTCTTCAGCGCCAGCAGTAGTATCGAAGAAGACACAGGAACCGCCAGTAAAGGAGAAATGGTCCCGAGAAAATCACCCCGCCTTCAAGAAGAACGCACCCACCCCAGCAGAAGAACCCGAGATACCCACGAGCTTCAAAGTAAACGACATGGTACTGGCGAAATGGCACTCGGGAGACAAGGGATTCTATCCGGCGCGGATCACATCAATCACAGGTTCTTCCACAGCTCCAGTTTATATTGTCAAGTTCAAGAGTTATGACAACACAGAGACTCTGCGAGCCAAGGATATCAAGCCCATCGCCAATCCGAACAAGCGCAAAGCTGATGGCACACCAGTCGCTACTGTACAACCATCACCTCCGGTCAATTCGAACGTCATTTCCGCCGCTGCAGACATCAATCCAGAGCTTGCCCACCAAACCAAGCGCGAGCCTAGCAAGGTCAGTGACGGTCCCGTTCGGCCAGCCAAGGTCCCCAAGAAGATCAAGGCAAACAAGGAATTGGAAGCCGGCAAATCGAAATGGCAGGATTTTGCGGCGAAGGGCAAATTTGGGAAGGCTGCGAAAAAAGAAAGCATGTTTCGGACTCCAGAGGGTGTAAATGGTAGAGGTGAGCTACCCCAGGCTCTTTGCACACGCAGCAATCGCTAATGTGCTCCAGTTGGATTCACGGGTTCCGGTCAAAGCATGCGGAAAGACCAAACGAGAAGCCGTCACATCTACCAGAACAACGGAGAAGACGAGTTCTAGAGCATGGTCCTCAGGCTTGAGGGAAAGAGGTCTTTGCAAGTATTTGGCGCAGTGGCAAAGGAATTTTGGTTCCCATTCTTCATGTTTTCTGCACGTTTGGTGACGGAGGCTAACATGAGCATTGCACTGAATACTAGTATCCGGGGCGCTTCAGACAGAATGAATCGATGTTGTTGGATGTGCTCTCAAATCCCATCTTCGCTGTACACAGAGACCAAGCTAAAGTTTTGAAATTTGATAGGGAAACCGTGCTCGGAGCAGCCATCTGCAATGCAAGCCTATTCTTCTTTGTAATGCGGAGGGTAACGAACAGAAGATTGTAGTGATATCTGTGGCGTGGCTTCCAGATCTTTATTGCGCACTTCTCCCACACACTTCTCATCAAGCAGACCTGGCACTGTATAGGCCCTTCCGATTCATGTTCTAGGGCCTTTATGCCAGCAACTAAAATAGGGCCTAAGATCGAAGCTCCTGCAGTTCTCGTGTCAAGAGATGGCTTACTGATACTGCTCCAATATCTAAAGTAAGCGAACTAAGTGTAGTGCACATCTCAGGTACTGTACCCGTAGCACATCTTACAATCATCAAATTTTTATATACAATAATCCTGTCAATCGAAAAGGTGTATCTTCGCCCCCACTTGTTCAGCAATTGCTACAAAAGCTTTCGCCCTATTACTGTCTGGCTCGGCAACAACAGTAGGCTTGCCTCTGTCCGCATCATCGCATATGCTAGCATGCAATGGTATATCTCCCAGAAAGTCTATCCCATGTTTCTCACAAGCGTGCGTCACTCCCGACTTCGAGCCAAAGACATGTGTGCTATTATGACAATGCGGACATTGGAACAATGACATGTTCTGTATCATACCCAGGATAGGTGTCTTGATCGTCTTGAACATATTGATACCCTTGACAGCATCCTTCAATGCGATGTCTTGGGGTGTCGAGACAATAATCGCACCTGAATACATAAGCTTGGTCTTCGAACGTATTAGGGAAGGAATACATACCATCGAGAACTATCTGCTGAGTGATAGTCAACTGTGTATCTCCCGTTCCCGGCGGCAAGTCCAGAACCAAGACGTCTAGTCCACCCCAGTCGACCTCATGCAGCAGCTGCTGTAACGCTTTCATAACCATCAGACCTCGCCATACTACAGGCGCAGCATCTCCAACTAGATATCCCATAGACATTGACTTGACACCATAGTTGGAAAGTGGAACGAGTTGATTGTCTACCAGGTATCAGACTTTCCCCTTGCTCTTGCGAGAATGTTCACCCACTTGAGGAGAGTCGGGGTTCGCCAGCGAGATTCAGCAGGGTTGGGATCGAGGGCCCGAAAATATCTGTGTCGAGGATTCCGCTGCGGAGACCGCGTCGGGCGAATGCCAGAGCGAGGTTGACTGTATTGTCTTAAAATAATTCTGCATTATTCTGACAGAGATTCTACCTGCGATAGTCGACTTTCCCACGCCGCCCTTCGCCGACGAGACAGCGATTACTTTCTTGACATCTTTGATGCTTCGTCGTTCGGGCAAGCCACGCTGCATGCGCGGGATTGTGCCAGTTCGTGGCAGACCCTGTAAAGCACAATTAACTTGGCACGAGGCATTCGCAAGGGCGTTCTCCAGTATACCAGTGGGTTCTCATGTTGCAAGCAGCGAAATGTCGAGAATAACCGCGACTTCATGTTGTACTTACCTCTTCGTCAACGGAGAGAGCTGGAGCCCGGTTGAAAAGCTGTAGGCGGCCGCTAGCACGCCAAGATTTCGCAGGGCTCCAGAATAATTTTGGGATTTCGACGCAGACTTTTGGAAATGCGGAACATCGAAAATTGGTGGTGCACCAGAAGCCATGGGGAAATCAAAGACTTTTGCGCAGCACATTGCTGAGTTGGAAGATCCACTACCACAAGGTAACTTCCATCTTTGTGCTTTGAAAAGACCGGCATCTAATGCGGCGCAGATTTTGATCCAGAAGAGGATGCCCCAGTCCAGGATACCGACAGCAGTGGCTCCGAGGAGAGCGAGGATGAAGCAGCTGGTACCGAACATTATGTTAAAGTCGGGTACGTATCACCAAGATTCTTATGTTTGTATTTCGCTGATTATGTGTAGGAAGAGCAAGCTGCGCAAACTAGACGAAGTTGCCCTGGGACCTGAATACTCCGGATCGCGAGTCAGTCGTGAAGCTTTACTGAATGATGACAGCGACGAGGATGAAGAAGGAGAGGAGCAGGCTTCTGACTCCGAAGCTGAAAATGATGCGAATGTGCGATTCGCAGACCCCGAAGATTCGGAGTTGGATATGGAAGTGGATGAGGATGGTGACATCGATAGTGACAATGCTTTTGGGGAAGGGGAGATCGACAATGAGAAATTCAAAAGCTTTACGTTTCGAGGGAGTGGCAAGCCTAGGGAGTCCAAGGGGGCCAAGAAGATGAGGCCTACGGCATCGGATTTTATGTCCGGGAGTGAAGACGAGGAGGAGGGAGCTGGTGTCGCTCTCAACAATGATGATTCTGATGAGCCAGAGACGGAGGAGGATCTTTTAGATGTAGATGAGCAGCATGAGGATGCTTCGGAAGACGAAAGATCAAGTGAGGAGGATACCGCTGAAGACGAAGAGGACGACTCCGAATCTAGTGAGGACGACAAGAGTGAAGCCGACGAGAACGAAGATGAGAGACGAGCTGAACTGCGCAAAATAATGGGAGAGGAGCAACAAAGTGTTGTCGCATCAATCACCCAAGCCGCAAAGGCCGATGCCGCCAAAGGGAACGCTGTCAAGGATCAAAGGAAAGCTTTCGACTCGCTGCTTGGTGTCCGCATGGTTCTACAGAAAGCTCTTATTGCTACAAATTCCATGGCAACAGTTGACGAGAACGACTCGGAAGATGCGTTGAACCAGCCATACGAAGCAGCAGAAGAGGCGGCCATCAAACTATGGAACACACTCGACGGAATTCGACACGAGCTATCAAAAGCCGGCTCTGCTAAAACAGGACAGAAACGAAAGCGCGATGTAGAATCATCTACTCCGTCTTCTGATCTCTGGGAACGGATGCAAGCTTCCGAAGTAGCTATGATCGATTCTCGGCAGACCACGCTGGAGAAATGGTCCTCTAAAGTCAGAGGCACGACATCCCTACCCCTCTCCCGGAAGCTTAACCCGACAGCGCCGCAGCAGTCCATCACATCGCTCCTTCAAGATCAGCTTGCCAGCTCGGAGCACCTCATCCAAAAGACGAAGATCCCGAGAGCGTGTGCGCCGATCCAACGGGATGCCAAACTTACCGAGGATCCAAACATCTACGACGACGGCAATTTCTACCAGATGCTCCTGAAAGAACTCGTGGATCAGAGAAGAGTAGAATCTTTGACAGCGCCTGCTGCTGGCAAGGCATTGCAGTGGACAGCTGTCAAGGAGGTGAAGACGAGGAAGAACGTCGATACGAAGGCGAGTAAGGGGAGAAAAATGCGGTTTACCGTGCACGAAAAGTTGCAGAACTTCATGGCGCCGGAGAACAGAGGGACCTGGGCACCAGAGGCTGTTGATTCATTCTTTGGAAGTCTGTTAGGACAGAGACTGAACCTTGGTGAGGAGGATGAGGACGAGGACATGGAGGAGGAAGTTAACCCTATGGAAGCTCTGGTATTTGGGCATTGAAATCTGTAGAGAAATATACTTGGACATGGTATTTCACCTTTATGTTTGATTTCGAAACGTCGTCTGGCTTGAGAGCCAAGTACAGCGCAATTTCCATCTCGAAAGTTGGCAGCATGACACCGTATTAAGCCCTGTGTTTCTGGGGCCGTGTTGTTGATTAAATGTACCTTGGTGAAGCCCTTGCCTGGACACTTCTCTTCCGCAGACGTGAACGCGATTCATCCTACAAAAGAATAGACTACCTGACCGATCGATCTTGACTGTGGAGAAAACGAATCGAATGCTTTTTATTTATTCAGGAATTCTATCAAGCCCCTAGCCCCCTGGTGCTCGATTAAGCTGTGGACGGTAAATATGCTCTCAGCATATAAACATCCATACACGAAATCCTCCATGCAAATGCAAAATGGTTCATCTTCAGCGTCTTTAGAAGGTCGTTGTCTTCAGCTCATTATCCACGAGCCGTGATCAACAAATTTAAGCTGCAGCCACTTCTTCCTCGGTGATCAACTTGGTGATCTTGCCAATAGCGATAGTTTGACCCTAGGAAATGTTAGTTCACAAGTTTAACATGGACTGTGTCTCGTACCTGGTCGCGGAGGGTGAATCGTCCTAGTTGGGCATAGTCCTCGAACTTCTCTACACAGACAGCTCCAGCTCCACCGATCACCTCCAGTCGCGCAATGATGCTGTCACCCTTCTTTGCGTGTGTCGGTGCTCGCTTACTCCGCCTGTTGGTTCCCTTTTGCAAGCTGTGAAGCAACGCAGCAAATGTGACTTCTTCAATAGCAGAATGAACGTGCAGGACGCAGCTGAAGCCAGCGGACAAGATACTCTTCAGTTCCAGAACGCGGATTTGTGCCTCGAAGGCCTGCACACAATGGACGGGACGCTTAGGCGAGCACAAAACGAAACCAGGCATGATGTCTTCTTCTTCGATACCTCGCAAGCGCACTCGAATCTGGTCTCCACTTTGGGCAATCGTGATTTCTTCTTCAGTCTCACCGTAGAGAGCAGTGACCTCGACCTTTTCCCTGTTGGGCATCATCATCAGGCTCATGTTCTTCTTGACCACGCCAGCCTCGATCTTCCCTTCGACAAGAGTACCCATATCTCTGTACTTGCCGTTGACCGGCATCATGAAAGGTGCATTGACTTTGCGCTCCAGTGCTGCCATGTTGTCCAAGTATTCGAGCAAAGAGGGGCCTTTGTACCAGGAGCAGAGGCCATCGGGAATTCGCTCTTTGAGATTTATCATCGATTGAGCTGCGATCGGCATGAAAAAGACATCGGTCTTAAGGTTGAATCCGGTTCCCTTCAGAAACTGGCCGAGCTTCGTAGTGCACTCGAGGTAACGCTTCTCGGACCACTCGACCGTAACATCGTCCATCTTGTTGATGACCACAATCAGCTTGTTGACACCTTGGGTTTTTGCCAGCATTGCGTGCTCTCTCGTTTGACCACCCTTCTCGAATCCAGTTTCGTATTCTCCCTTTCGAGCACTGATGACCAAGATTCCAACGTCGGCCTGAGAAGCGCCACCAATCATGCTAGGAACATACGTCTTGTGACCCGGTGCATCCAGGATACTGTAGCGACGCTTGTCGGTCTCGAAAAACGCACGTCCAACCTCAATGGTCTTTCCCTTCTCTCGTTCTTCCTTGCCGACGTCGAGTGCCCAAGAGATCCACCAAGTCTCACGCCCAAGGTCCTTCGCCTCCTTCTTGTACTTGTCCAGAGTTCGATCATCGACCATGCCGCTCAAAATAAGGATTGCTCCTCCTAAGGTCGACTTGCCAGCATCGACGTGTCCAATGAAAATGATATTGACGTGCTCCTTACCATAGATCTCTTTCAGAGTCTCATCGTCAACATCCGCGGCCTGCTCCTTCTCTACGGCATCTACCTCACGTGCAGCGACCTTGGCAGCGGTTCGTGAAGGGCTGGATCGGCCAGAAGATGGGGCTGGTGATGACTTGCCGCTGTCTAATACGGTACTCTTCTCCGTTTTCTTCTCAACTTTCTTCTCGGTTTTCTCGATTGCCTTGGCAGCTGTAACTTTGGCACCGGCTTCAGCTGGAGTCGCCGCAACGACATCCTTCTTGGGCGTTGGTGCTGTGGCAGCTGCATTTCCAATAGATAGAACCTTAGCCTTGGGCTTGGGCGCATCCCCACCAATGCTCAGCACTTTCGGAGCACCCGCCTGAGTCGCCACAGGCTTGTTCAACTCCGCAGATCCAGAAGCTCCATCTGCTGGGCGCTTTGCGATCGTAGGGGTTGCTCGAATTGGTTGTTGTGCCGCGGCGGCTTGTGGTTGCTGAGAGTAGCCTGAGTATTGTTGTCCTACACCAGGCCCAAGTCAAAAGGGATTGTGGACCACGGGCCATGACAGAAACTCACCATATCCTCCTGCGTTGTAACCTTGCTGTTGGTATCCTGTTTGGTAGCCACCTTGGCCGTATTGGCCGTACTGGCCGTAGCCAGCTTGCTGGCCATACTGAGGATACCCTCCACCACCATATTGCTGGCCACCTTGAGGGTACTGCTGGAAATTCTGGTTCTGATATCCGGTTTGATCGTATACCCCGCCGTACTGCTGGAAGCTCTGGCCGGGCTGGAAAGATTGTGCGCCTGGCTGGAAGGTGCTTGCGCCGGCTCGAAAACTGGACCCTCCTTGATGTGGCTGTTGAGATGCGTTGTTCAGATTCATCTGCTGGGTCTGGCGCGACAGGTCCTCCTGCGCGGCAGGGTCGTCTTCCCATGAGTTGAGGTCCGACATTTTGAATGTATTGGACTGAGAAATCGTGAGGTTTGGTCTCCTCCAAGGATCCAAGGAGTGAGGAAGGGGAGATGAATCGGAGGTTGTGGGCGGCGGCGGGGCTTGACTTTTCTTGTGTACGGAGTACGTCACAACGTTAACCACCAATACCGGTAGAGCAAATGACTCCAAAGGATTGTTCAGAACACGAGTACCGGTACTTCGTAGGCTATTGCTAATGCTATATCTTAGTCAGGATTAAGGACAGTTCAAGGACTAGGAAATCCTTTGCCTAGGGTCAATCTACTACGTACTACAATCCAATGCTCATACCGGTACTTCGCAGATGTAGGGGCATGGCATTGAAGATTTTGATCCGGCCCTCGGTGCCACAGCACTAGCGTTCTTTGTCTGCCACAATACCTTTCCGCGTAAAGTGAAAACGCGGTTGATGGAGATATCAAGCTCGGAACTCGACAACTAGAGAACCTCCATTTGATACTTCCCAAATCTCTGCGCTACTGTGCTGCTCTCATTCCACCGAACACCAGGCAAAAGTCATGGAGGACTTCTTGGGCAAAGTACGAGAGCCTCTTCGTTTGAAAAATCACGTGCTGACGGGTGGGTGTAATAAAAGATCACCCAGCATGCTATGAACTACGCCATACGGTTCGTCTCTGTTGCTGGAACCTCGTGAGATCAAGTTGCTAATCATATGTAGAGCTGGCATTGGCATAACTGCTTCGTACACCCTTAAGCAGACTGCCCGGCTGCTCAAGGTAAACTCGCGTTTTCGGAGCGTTTGCTGAAATATATTACTAACGAAAAGCCCAGACGGTTGATAATAGCACAGACTACCGAGAGCTTCACATTCTGCAGAAGAGGTTGAATAGCAAGATACAAGTAGACTCGCCTGCTCTTGTGTGATTTCCAACCTGCTTACTCCTCTCAGATAGTCTCTCCGGCAATAGACCTGATAGAGCTCATGTAACTGCCCTCCAATACAAGCCGGGTCATGGAATTCTAACGTGTGGTTAGTTCAGCCCGAGGAAACACTACTTTGGAGTCGGCAGTGACATTGACAAAGGCTCTCCGATGGGACATTCAAGCACTTGGTGTACGACTCGCCAAGGCTGCCACTGCCGAGGAGTCTTCTCGAAGGAAGGCTGATAAAGCAAAATCCAAGCTCGCCCATGAAGCAGAGATACGTCTCATTGTCAAGGATATACGAGATATACTCACACGAATCGAAGATGCTGTGCCACTCATCAACCTTGCCATCACCACCTCAGGCGCCAGCCTTTCCACCTCAATGCCCGCTTCTGTATCACCATCAAGGCTGCTTCAAGCCAGCACTTTTCTCACGGCCGGAGATACTCAGTATTCTATGAATCCAGATGTTCCGGTCCAGGTTGGACCCGTGTTAACGCTATCCTTGTACATGCTATTTGCTGGCCACTCGAATCGGGTTCACGCCTCGGAGGATATGAGAGACACAACTTGGAAGGAAGTAATCCACAAGGCTAAAGTCAAGCTGATGCGTGTCCCTTTACAAACAATCGGAAATGGTGAAACAAGCGCAGTGGTGCTAGATTCGGTCGCTGGAAGTCCGAATCCAATGATCAATGGAGATGGACGCCAGAACGAGTACGCTTATCATCTCGAGCTTATCGAAGATCTGGACGATGACAGAGCTCATAGTTTCGAGGATGGCGAAGAGCAGCCAGGTCCGTACGGAGATGTTCGAATAGCAGGTATTCGAGAATTTCTACCGATCTATCAAATCTCGAAGATCTTTTATGCGGACACGGGTAAAATTCTCAACATTGGTGCAGAGGGAGAGGCCAACAATCCCGTCCTTTTGCTCAAGAGAGATATCAATGCCCTACCCCCGCGACGAATGATGAGAGAGGCAGAGAAGGGAAATGAGTGGTACGGAGAACCCGAAGGACAGGTAGAGGAAGAGGCTGCTTCGGACGAGTCAGGTGCAGAAGAGGGTGACTCGCAGGACGACATTGACCAACAATTACGCCGAGAGAGCACCATTCCCAGAACTGAATGTGCGCCTCATGAAGGACCGGCAACAGGCGAACGAGCATGGCGTCTACCAGCAGATCTTGATCCAGAATGGTTGGCGCTCGAAGTCTACACCGAGCCAGAGAACTGGGACTCCGAAGATGATGATTCGGAGGAAGACTCGGCGTATGTATCCCATCGCCCAAGCTCATCTGGCCAAGAAGCTGAGGAAGAGCTCGCCGAAAATCTTGCCCATCTCAACATACAAAATCAGACATCTCCATTCCCGTCCCCCGCCCACCAACTCGACGCATCTTCTTCGCTCCCGAAATTCTCGGAACCAAAACCCTCACCACTCGGCCCAATCAAATCCTCCCTCTCCCTACTCGAAATGTTGATCCGCCTGACAGCCCTCCAACAGTTTCAACAAGCCTCCCACCTCTCTATCCCCGACGAACTTCTCACTTTCTTCCTCGAGGAATCTTCAACCACAGGTGCCGGGGGTGACGGCGAAGAACGCCAACGGACCCGCGCTACAGCCAGACACAAAGTCGGCTTCGACCCGTACGACGAAAGCCCCATCAAGCGACGAGGTGAAGATTACCAATACCAGAATCGAGGACAGGATGAATACGCATTTTCCAGAGATGGCTCGCCGTACTCAGAGTGGGATCAGCAGAACCCACCCGCGAGTCCGCGCTGGTCTAGAGAACAGAGTCAGAGTATGATCCCTCCAAGGTTCCCCTGAGCCGTGGTTGACGCGTAGCCAAGAGGGATCTGGACCTTGCACAGGTACACCGGAGGCACGGCCATCTTCGCCGACTTCGCCTTACCGGCCACAAAATAAAGTGGCGAGACCATTGGACCGGGTACAGCAGGCAAGAGTTCCTGGGAAAGGAAGTCCGTTAGGACGGGGAGTAAGTGTTGATACTGATTCGACGCTCGGTACGAGTCCTGGGTCTCCTACTCTTGTGGACAGGGTACCAAAGGTCTAGAGGATGCAAATTTGCTTGCTGGGTATGCTCCTTCAGACCGAGTTGCGAATGATACCCTTTGATAGTTTTTGCTACTTGAGAAAGAGCCCCCGAAGGGTGTCATTAAATTGATCATTGGCCCTTTGACAAACTGGGTGGTGACTAGGTGAGCGATGTGAGGTTACATGACCACATAACTTCCTCCATTTTCAACTTCAACTAGGGTAGGTTCCTCTTCGACCCCCTTCCCGGCAAGCCTTCCTTTAAGCTGATCAACCCCCCATTGTATATCATGTGATACATCATTTACAGTCCACCCAATGATTCCCTTGTATTTCAAACTTACAAAGTCACCATTGCGCACATAGTACCTCGCTCCCGTGCTTCGTGCAAGGGCAAGCCCGTCTTCAACACCCAACACGGTCTTGATCCCAAATGAGTAGCTATCTTTCAGCGGCGCTATTAACGCCAGCATCTTCACCGTCTGCGCGAATCCATGAACGAAAGCTTCGTCTGCGCCGATGCCATGCGGTCCCATGAGGATCATCTCCTTCTCAGCAGGATTCACAGAAGTGATGAGGCAAAGTCCGAAATTGTTGAACCTGGTCACCGCAGGCGGGAACACAGTCAACCATTCCGGTAACGGCACTCCAGGGTGTCCGTCTGCCCACGGCGTTTTACTTGGATCACACGATGCCATCGTCACCACGGTATCAAAGTGGCCCCACGAGTGAGCCGTGCTGGCTACTGCCGCTATGGCAAACAAAGGTGTAGACGAAGAGAACTGTAGGAGACTCTCTTGGTTGAAGTGCTCTGCACTGCCCATGACAAAAATGGCATCGACGGCAGGGTCTTCGTCCGTTGGTGCTAGCGAGTTTCCCGCTGCAAGCTCGATTTCCGCGATGGCGGCATCGACTGCTGCGCGGTTTGGGAGACCGGGATCTCGCCCCAGGGCCATTTCGAGAAACATCGGAGCGATGAAAACTGATGGCTGCCCAAACCATGGATCGATGACGGCGTGGTAGAATGCTTTGCCCTGGGTGCTCTTGTCGGATGCAGGGCGAGGAAGAGAGATGAGCCAGGAAACATCGCCGTTGATGTAGGTGATGATGGGCCTGGAGACGGCTTTCGGGTCAGCGAATTGGACTCTAAGAGCGTGTGTTCTGTCTGTTGTTGCTGTCATTTTGATGGCCGGTTCTGCTGGGGAATACAGATATTCAGTGGAGAATGAGCGCAATATGTTTCGGAACCGAGTTCAAAAAGTATTGCATTAGAATTTCATGGGCGCACCGGCGGTTTTGTTGCTGACGTGAGGAATCAGCTGCGCTATGCCTTATGAAGTGACCTATCTTGACCACTTGTGGACCTTGGCATGTCTATATTCACTTCCATGCATCGAAACTATCATCTTCTAGAGTCGTTTGCAAGCAATAAAATACGTGAAGGCAAGACATCGATGCTCTGTCTTTAAATAACTTTACTGATGTTATTGATTAAGCAAGAGTCAGACGTAGAGTCTTTGGGTCAAGGAAACATAGTACGGAGGACAAGCCGAATATCAGAAGTATTGTTCAGTAGTCATGGAATGAGAACAGGCTGCTCTAGAAAAGAGTTGTCATATTGTCAATGTTACAAAAACCAAAACAAGACGCTGCTTTGCCGCCACCCTCAGTGGAAATCCGAAGCAGTGGCGGTCAATTTCGTCCAGCCTCTCTAGCAGCCGAGACATGTATATTTTGATGTACAACTATCCACAAACTTTCTATCTTTTGTTTCCCATAATCTCAACTAAAGAAGAAAGAAGAGCACTGGCTAAAGCCAATCCTGGACATCCTTCTCGCTTGATCGGCCACGTGAGAGCGCGTTTCGGTTGAATATCGGGAAATTGATCTTCCGAGGCTCTAATGTCGCAACTCACACTTGTTCCAACCAAAAACCCCCACCACCAACTCATCGCACCTCCCCCTACTCAATAACCAGGGGCCCAGGCAGCTCCTGCTAAAACGAATGTAAGCATTGCCGTGCTTCACTCAAAACCGGTGGCGTCCAACTAAAGCTTGCAGCCGATGGTAAACAACCATTTCCCCGTACAGGCGACCGAGCTCCAGAACTTTTGCGTCGGGATGCCAGGGGGTCAACGAACGTTCGACCTGGTGCCAACGACCTTGGTCAAGTCCAATGGCAACCAGAAGCCCATGACCAGCAAGGCTGCCAAGAAGGCATATCAACAGGCAAACCGAGGGCCGAAGATCACCAGGGCGGAACAGCGCAAGCGGGATGCTGCAGAACTGGAGGCGCAGAGGAAAGAATATGAGAAGGAGAAGGCAGCAGTAAGGGCTAAAGCAGCAAGGGAGAAGAAGGCGGCCAAGGCGAATGCTGAAAAGGAAGCCCGGAGGAAGAAGGGACTCCCAGAACCGAGCAAATTCGTCCGCGCCAGCCAACCTACTATATCCAGGTTTATCAGGAGCGACAGCAATGGCAAAAGAAAGTGGGAGAAGGTGGGCGATGTTGTGGAGGTCTCTGATAGTAATACTACGTCTGGCACGGAGAGGGGTGATGAGGGACCACCAGCGAAACGTATGGCATCGATTGGAGAAGACTCTGAGGACGAATTCGGAGAATTCCCATCTCTGTCGCAGACCGATATATTGGAGAAGATCGATGGCTCTATTAAGCCCAACAAATACGGCGCCTCAGATGCAGAGTTGTCATTTTTGGAATCATGCCCACCTCTAGAACCTCACTACCGCGAAGCTTCTCAAGAACTGCCTTCAAGGAAACTCTCAGCTGAAGCTCCGGGAGAGGACTTCGAAGCTTTCGATGAGATGGCCACGACTCAACTGCTGTCGGATCTTGCTGAGGCTATAGCTAAGTCCGATTCAATAGAGCTTCCTGTAGAGTCTCCACCACCAGAATATACGAACAAGAGATTAAAGAGTGTAGTTATGGCTGCTGCATCTCCCAAAAGTTCTGTAAGGGTAGTTGGGAAGTCAGGAATCGCCACAGAAGTGCACAGCAAAGGTGTTTCTCAAACGAATACGAGCACGGTACGACTGGATGTCGAATCGACTGCTAGCAGGAGTCCGAAAAGCAACCAACTCAATCTTTATCCAAAGGCCGTTCAGTCGCTTCAGTGTGCCAATGGCCAACATGACGCTATGAACACAACAGTACAGGCTGTGAAGCCTTTTCTACAAGAGCGATCTACCAACATGCCGCCACCTCGGCTTCCGATCAAGAAAACAGGCTCTGTTGCCTTTGCCAATACGCCAAACCGTACAGCCAATTCTCAGAAGACAAAAAAAATGGGCTGTAGAACGATACCGAATGTCCCTCCGACTCCAACTCAGGCGTTCCTCGAGGATCATATGGACGACTTCTTTCCCAGCCCCACTCAGGAAATACGGGAACTCCTCGAAGACGTTGATGATCTTCCCTCTAATGCGGAAATCTCCAAAGAGCCCATTTCCGAAAAGCAGGCAGACACCAGCGATTTTTACGATTTGATATGCACCCAGGCCTTCGCTCTATCGCCAGAGGACCTTGCCGAGATAGCTACACCAAGCCGAGCTCCTTTGAAACCTCTCGCTGTTCCGGTGAGTGTAGCATCCCATCCCGTCTCGCGAGAGAAGCGCCGATTTTTCGAGGAGAAAGACGAAGACGTGTTGCATGCTGCTATTCACGAAAGCAGGTCGTTGGCTATCAACGAAATTAAAAAAGCACCATCAAACGACGTAGCATCTTTCAACAAGTACCAGCCCGATTCGGCCGACTATGGAGATCTTGACTTGGAATTTGTCGACCCAACACACCCTTTTCAGAACGATGAGGAGAAGCAGCTTGAAGCAGCCATTCGGGAGAGCAAAATTCTAGCAGAACAAGAATCTGAGAGAGCAGCGTCATTCAAACAGCCGCCTCACAACAGTGCGCAATCTGATTCGTCCGATTACGGGGATTTTGAACATTTTTTCGAAGAACAGGCTGAAGAAGTGTCTCGCGGTTTCCAGGAGGACCGACGGCCAGCTCTGGCAGATACATCACAGCAGTATCAGCCACCGGAAAAGGAGGTCAAGTCAGCGCCAGCCGGAGGTAGGAAAGCCGAGCGTCGGTTTTTTCAGGAGAAAGACGAGGACGTGTTGCATGCTGCTATATACGAGAGTACAAGAGAGACAGTTTGGAAGGTGCCTGTGAAACAACCACCCAGACTTCCCCAGAGGACGTTGAAGAGAGTCCAGTCGACCGCGTCCGACTACGGAGATGATGATTTTAGCGGCTGCTCTCAGGAGCTTCTCGATTTATGTGGAAGGGGTTGATGATCACCGCACTGGTTGGGCAGAAATCATTGGACGGAAAGAATGTATGAACAGGAAAGACGTTTTGAGGCAGTGTCATGGGTTATATACCGGGTTTCGGACTTTTGGGCATTGCATATCTTCTGACTCACGCATTCGGTTGGCGTTGGGATACAATTTGGCGTGATGCATACAGGATAGGAAGGTAGATACCCATAGCATAGTCTGGGCCAGGAGAGGATAGACTCATCAAGCCTTAGAAGACTCGAGAATTCGATCCACCATCACAATTGTATGCACGGTAAACATTCACACACGTAGCTTGGCTTGTCGAAGATAGAGTGTATCGAATCGATTCGAGGGGGGCCGCTGGAAGCGAACTTGGGGGTATGCTAATTAAACCTTCTAAAAATCAACCGACCTATAAATTCAACCGCCCAGCATGGCCACATCTACAGTTCACATGCTCCCCCCCCCCCCTAGCATTTGATCTATCCATCCCATCCCATCCTACCATGCATTATCGTCATGAAATCATAATTCATCTCAATATAATGATTTTATGTACTCCTCAAAGGCAGTTGGCCAAGACAGGGTTGCCCTGGATCGCACTGGGGTTCTTCGAGGCGATGAACTTGACTGTCGCAATGACCTTGGTGCGGGTCGCGATGTCGAGTTGCTCGGTGGGCTCGCCCAGGACGGCGGCGAAGACGGGGATGAGTTGGGGGGTGAGGCTTATGATGTCTTGATTTTCGTGTTGGTCTGTTTCTGTTAGCCGAGAAAGTATGGCAGGGGATGGGGAAGGACATACACAAGCCAGCAATGCAAGAAAAGATGGGCTCATTCTCCTCGTAGTCCTCCTTCAAGGGGAGGAGGTCGATGAGCACAGGCAGGATGTCACCAATGGGGACCTTGTCTGGGTGGGCCATGATCATGCGGCAGACACATCCACAGGCATTATCCAAGGTTCTAGCACGTCTTGTTTGAAGGAGAGGCTCGAGCTTTGACAGGATGGCGTTGTAGCTGGGAAGGTAGGCGGCAGAGTCGGTGGAATAGTAGATCAGAAGTCCCATGGCGTAGGCTGCGTTGGACTTGGTCTCCGGATCTTCATCCGATAGCTTGTGCGTAAGCAGCTTGAGGAGAGCTGATGTAAATGGAGTGACGGCAGCTCCCATGTGTCTTGTGCATTCGGCGAAGACACCGATAGCTGTTGATCGCTCGTAACCGGTGGAGGAGGATGCGAACTTGGTAATTGGCTTTTGGTAGATCTTGAAGACTTCGCCGAATTGCTCACCGAGTGCCTTGGCCATGCCGATGATCACGTCCAAAGCAGTGTCGATGACGAGCCAATCGTACTCAGATGACTCCTCCTCGTCGTCGTGTTCGTCCTCGTCACCCATGTCGTTTTGGCACGGGTGGGTCTTGGTTAGGATAGACGCAATCGTGGAGGTCATGCGCTCGGTGAAGTTCTCTTGGGTCATGATAGCCGGACCACAGAGCTTCAAAGTAGCAGCAACATTCCGGTTGATATCGGTGACAACGGCACTAAGTGATCGGCAGAGTCAGCATATGGTATCTCCCGTAATCATACAAAGACACGTAGTGAAAATATTGGATCAGAATGTTGATACGCGTTCGCAGCATTCGCATCTTGCGCGTCTGAGTGAGCTGGGTATAACGTCATGTTGTTCATCACTTCAAGGGACCGGTTTGAAAAATGGGAAGAGAATGAGTCACACTCACCGGTCAACTTCGTCGTCCCAGACAGACATGGTCGCAGCAGTGACAACCTCTCCAAGCTTAAGGAGCTCCCCAGATGGCTGAGACTTCAGCGGAAGGCCAGGGGCCCACCCCTCGCCAGTGTGGTCCTCCATCAGGGCCCAGAGGCATGCGTAAGCTCGCCAAAGCGTACCGATAGCAGCCTTTCGGACTCCCTCGTAGGAATGCTCGACCAATCCGACGGTAACCTCGATTGTCTTCTCGAAATATGGAACAAAGTTCTTGCGAGTGTGCGATAAGACATCACCAATAACTTCGATAGCAACCTCCTTCTCCAGGGCAACCGCTGTTACGGCAGTGAGATCGTCCCAGTCCTCATCATCGCCATCGTCTTCCATGTTTTCGGGATCCTCTGGGGCATCAGATGCGGAAGCGACCTTGACCTTTTTTCCCGCAATAACAACCTCCTGGCCAAGCAACTCTCTCGCCTCCTCGCCAAGTTCGACCTCGAAATCAGACTCCTCCTGGTTCAAGGAAGCCAAGAGGGCTTTGACAACACCATCAAGGAATGGAGCAAACTCCTCCTTGTAAACCTTGGCCAATGTACTCCACAAGATATAGCTGGTCTCTCTCAATCTCGGATGTCCAAGGTTGAGACCTTCCTCGCTAGCTTGCATAAGAGGATGGACGTATTTCTGAAAGGCGACAGGGCCAACGGCCTCCGAAATGCTACCCATAGCATCACAGACGATGCCTCGGAGGTCGAGCTCCTCGTTACTATCCTTCATAGTGACGTATGGGGACAGTGCCTCCATCGTACCCTCAAAGTAGGGGGAGAAGGCATCCATGGCAGAGCCAGCCATAGATCCGATTGCACCAGCAGCGCTTCCTTTGACATTGAGGTCCGAGTGGCTGAGCAATTGGACGAGACGAGGGACAACCTCTGGGATGTAACTGGCGACAGCTGCCTTATCAACACCATCTGTGACGGAATCAATGGCACTGCAGGCAGCCTTCAACATATCGAGGTTCTTCTCCTGAGCAGCCTCGCTAGAAGCCTGAACGGTGGCAGCGTCAAGGTTCTTGAGGAGAGCTGGCATGAGCTCGGCATGGTGCTTACATAGCTCCTCTGCAAGGTCATCGGCCAATCTGGCAATACCGTTGAGGGCAGCACCTCGCACACCAATCTCGGGGTCGTTGAGCAGCTTCAAGACTACTGGCATCAGGCCATCAAGTTGAGTAGCAATGAAATCGGGAGCGCCTTCAACACACATGCCAAGAGACAGAATACCGGCTTGACGATAGTGTGGCAGCTCGCTGTTGACGTATTTTGGCAACGCCGCCAGGAGAGGTACGACAACCATACGAGGAGGGAGCGCAGTAGCTAGGAGGTCCAAAAGTCCAAGCGCAGTCTTGTGTGGAGTAATATCATCATCGTCTTCATCATCGTCAATCTCAGTTGCAATGTGCATGGCCTTAAGAGTCAAATTCTCTCCCATATCTTTGATGCCCTGAATCTTCATCTTCCTATATCTTGCGCATTGCATTAAGAAAGAGAGGGCCTGGGCTCGAGACTCGTCCGGAATAGAAGTATCGGCACCCAGGTCGATCATGAATGTCAGGAGGTCCTTGAAATGTTTGTTCAGGAGGGCAGATTCACAGCCAAGGAACGTCTGGAAGACCTCGAAAGCTTGCATAACACGATCATCATCCTCCGAATCAACGGCACTTTTCAGAACAGCCACCATGGCTGGGAAGATGTCGTTGAATCGGGTGAGGTTCTCCGGGTCCTCATCGGGCTGGATTAACATGGCAACTTGTCCAAGACAGAGCAGGGTGTTGGTGCGGACCTCTGGGCTCTCAGGATCCTGGATTGTCTTGCTCAAGAGCGTGAAGAGCCCCTGGAGCTTATCTTCGAAAGCGGTGGATGCTACTTCAAGGAGAGAGAAGAGTATGTAGACTCCGACTTCGCGGTGCGAGACTTGGCCAGAGGTAGCAGCCTGGAAAAGGTTGTTGGGAAGGGAAGCCCACTCTCCGTCTGCGAGATCGATGGACGCGATAGAGGCGATGACGCGAGCCGCAGAGTGTCGGACGAGTGGTTTAAGCTCGTTCAAGGTAGACTCGAGCAGCTTTTCGCGGATCGCTGGCTTCTGGTCCTCTGGGAGATCGTTCCAGTGCTTTGGGATCAAACGATTGGCCTCGACAGCAGCCTGTTGGCGCATTTCTGGAGCATCGTGAGATGTTAGGATATGTAGAAGCCATAGGAGTGACTGTGGGTGAGGGTAGTAGGTCTTTCGAAGCTCAGTCGTCGCAGCCTTGATTCTCTCTGTGTCGGCTGGAAATGGTCAGTGTATTGATGGCGGGGTATTTTGGGATGAAAACATACGGGCCTGGATGCTCTGCAAGAGATCGACGAACTTTTGTTGGTCCATAGTGAGAGACTATGAGTACGAGAAGACGGAAGGGAATATGCGAGGAAGAATGTCGCGTCTTCTTCTCAAGACATCGACGAGAGGAAAAGTGAAAATCACATACTGGAGGAAAAAAAAAAATATCTGTGGCGTTTGATTAGCTCGCGGGGCTATCGAGAAGCGGGGCCCGACGCGCTAACCCATATGTAGACTAGCATTAGATGCCCCTCGAACAACGCAAAATACCCCCAATGCCAATATTCATGGGTCACGTGTAGATGAATAAAAATTTCACACGAAGTAGGCCTGAAGCTACGGAGTACCTTATACCGGTACCTATACCTATGTAATATTGATACTAAGTGGTGAGTCTGCAGATCAAACTATTCAAAATTGCAATGCTCCATGAAATGTGCAAAGGAAGCTCTTTTCCTTCTATAGCCCAATGTTGCGCGCATAAGTAAGTACTCATGGTTATGACGACGGCCCATATTCCCTTCCTCAATCTCCGTCTCCCATTCCCACACCTTGAGTTTGACTTTTCTTACGTGCACATTCTTATACCAATCACCCTTTCACGTATTTCATCACGGCTACCCTTACTGTTGGTATCAAGATGACTTTCCCGTTCCCACGAATGCTGATTTCATGTACTGGGCGAAGCCGATGAAAGAGAAGCTCTTAAAGAGGATACTAGACAAAAAGTTCTAGGTGCTTGAAGAGCACCAGGGTAAAGGTCTGGAGAAGTTCCTGATCAAGTGCATCCATGTGACGCTTGCGAGCTGGCCGGCTTTCAGGGGAGCTCTTTTGATCACTAATGAAGGGGCGGGTAAATTCTCTCGAAAGGTTATTGAGATGCGAGAAATCGAGCGGGGAAAGCATGGTGTAATCGTACCCCTGGTCGGAGTACTAGTCAGAGGCAGGAATGCGGTTCCAAGTACCCTTTAGTAATACGGTCAATTTTCAGTAATACGGTCAACTTTTTTGTGATTCTTCTTTTAATATATATATCTATTACAACTTTTAATAGAAAAATTAATTTTAAAATATAATATTATTCTTTAAGAATAGGCCTACTTTAAGAAAAAAATTAGAAGCTGATAGGATTTTAAAACGCGATTATATCTGTATATTAACCTCGTCGGCGGTATTAAATGATTTTTAATTGAATAAATAATTGAATAATTAAGCAATTATAAATAATTATGTGTAACTTTTTAAAAAATCATAATTGATAGTTTTGAATTTATGTTCTTTCTCAATTTCAATTGTTCAAAGCAATAATGGATCGATCAGTCGGAGGTTGTAATGAAATAGGCGGCTATTTGAGTAAAGATGCGAGGCTTTTAGAATGGTCGGCGCACTTTAAAAATTTAAAAAGTACGGCGAATTTGCAGAAACCGATCGAGCTATTATTGCGTTAGGCTATTGAAAATAGGGCAGAATAAAAATTCGAAGCTGGCGATTATGATTTTTTAAAAAAGTTACATGTAATTATCTATAATTGCTTAGTTATTTAATTGTTTACTTGATGGAAAGTTATTTAAATAGCGTCGACGAGGTTAATACACGAATATAATCGCTTTTTAAAATCCTATTAATACGTAATTTTTTTCTTAAAGTAGGTCTACTATTAAAGAATAATATTATATTTTAAAAATGATTTTGTTATTAAGAATTGTAATATATATATATATGTATTGGAAGAAAAATCACAAAAAAAATGACCGTATTACTGAAAATTGACCGTATTACTAAAAGGTACTAGGAACCGCATTCCTGCCTCTGACTAGTACTCTGACCAGGGGTACGATTACTATGTTTTATTCATTCGTTTCGTAGTACTAATGGTCCTCGGCTGCGGAAGACGCAATTGACTGCCATATTCTCCCTGCTTTCCCTGTATCCATGAAACGCAGCTTACTCAATCCAGGATACAACCATGACGGCAAAAGAGGCTTGCTTGGTCATACCGCAGGTGATCAATGATTCAAATGAAATGGAAGTCTTTGGTGTGAGGAGGTTTTAGGAGCCCTTCGAGTCGCTAAGCAATAATCTATAACGGTTTTTTCCGAAGTAGGTCGGGATTATGAACAACAGGCTGCTAAGATACTAGTGTCAGTGCACCTACCGAGTTTCTGCTTCCAAGGCATTGGCAGAGATCAGATTTCCGGCATCGTTTGCGAAGGAGTAACCCCTTCATGGGCTGCCTTGGAGTTTAAGGGATAATGATGTTCGACAATGGGGCCAAACGGTTGATTAGTCACTTTCATGCTACAGCTGCACTGTGTTTTGGTCCTGAGTATTATCGATGGCTAGAAGTTCCAAGAATGTTGAACTGCAAAGAAGTGTACGGACAGAGTTGGCTGATGTAAATTGGACCTGGGAAGCGTTGACTTGACCTGCAACAGAACTGTATTTTCGTGGCTCCTTGAGCTTATCTCAAGGTGGTCTCTGAGTCCTGAATCCTCGTTTGCTTGAGACCCTATCAGCAAATCAGAAACACTCGTCTCGTCTCGGAGGGTTTTCAAGCCGATCTCTCTCTGTCAGTTGATATTTGCGAAATGATTGCTCGAACAATCCTGTTGGATGCTTGCTTGCATACACATATACCGCACCAAAAATATATTCGAAGCAAAAGCCAGCGTTGTGGATTTGCGTGTTATTCCGAGATCGCTCAGTCCCTCACTCGGCCATCTTATTCAACCAGACTTCAATCCAAAACCGCACCCGATTCACGATAACCGCAGGACAAATAGCACCCGCATCAACGTGTCGGGTAGGTCGTCGTCTGATATACTCCCTCGAGCTTAGAACTTGCCCAACCGGTTTGGCATTGACTCCAGGCCAAGCACGGCCCGAACCTAGTGCGAGATGAACCGGAGCGTAGAATTCGAGAGATCCTCACTGGAGAGCACCCGGTCCTATGAGGCATTATCTATCAGATGAAAGACGAGAGAGAGAGAGGGTGTGTGTGTCAAAATGAGGATTCGTAGCAGAGAATAGCCCTAATTGCAAAACTTGAGTGAGGCACGGGTGCAAAACAAGGCCAGTGTTAAACTGCGATGCCGCATCGTAGCCGAACTCGAGGAGTAAACTCAGGAGGACCGTTGCGGAAGAAATATTTCGAAGATGAAACTCGGCGAAAAGGATGATATCTTCAACACTGGAGTGATTACTTTTTTTCACGGAACGTACAGAGCAGAGTATGGCACCGTAAGGAGATTTACGAGAGCTCTGCTGTCGGACTCGGTCAAGTATATGTGTCTTGAGGCCCGCTGGTAATTGGAACCGAATGATGAGACAAAAAGCTCTCTCACACCGTCATGCGCGGCGCGCCCTGCGGATCCGGCATTCCACATGCATGCAGGAATGAGCAAGCAACCTAGTACCTGCAGCTTGAACTTACGTATTTCTGCATGTTTATCTCAAACTCGGGACGATTCGGGTGCGGAACACACCCGGTCAATATGAAGCCCGGAACATATCAACTTCTGACATGTATATTTGGGTGAAGAGTGGTTTCACGATCGAATCTGCTCTTGTGTAGAAGTGGGTATTGCGGAGAGGAATTTTTTGCAGGATAGTAAGAGCAGAAGTAGAAGTAGTCGAGCTGAACTTGATGCAACGATGCAACCAACGGAGGTTGAAGGTTTGAAGTAGTAGTACGTAAAGTAAGTACGGATACTTTACGACCTGAACTTTTTTAACTTCCCCACTAATCGTGGACTTACTACTACTGTATTGACCCGCCAAAAACAATCAAGATACCTACCTAGTACAGTAGTAAATGGAAAAGAGTTTTGCCGGCCGGCCGATGCTGCGGAAATCCAATCCGAGTCGATGGTACAGTAATCACAGCCGGTTTCTTGGGCGTCGTCCTGAGCGAAGCAGCTCCGAAGACCAGAAGGCCAAATCTGCAGACCAGACCAGATCAGGACGAACTCGGGTTCCATCAAAGGCTGTGCCCGTTTGACTTTGTCTCTCTACTTATCTTCCGACTCACCTACCGCTACCGGTAACCCGCTAGCTACTCGACCTACCGGTACCTCGGGATCTATGCAACTAACTAACTATCCATCCACCCGTCTACCACTTCGACTCCAACCTTCCTCACTACAGGCTCGAATTTGGTGAGGCAAGGAAGAAGAGAAGATGGACCTTTTCGACTTGAGAGCGCCGCAGCCGCAGCCGCAGCCGCAGCCGCAGCCGCGACCGCAGCCTTAGCTTCAGCCTCAGCGTCAGCCTTTGCCGCAGGAGCAGCAGCTCGCGTGCTCTCTCCGTAGTATAGTCATGTGAATCTGTGAATCTGTGAATCTGTGAGCCCGCCTTCCCCATGATCAATGCTTAATGCTCAATGCTCAATGCCAAAGGCCCCCCCGTCCCCCCGTCCCCCCGTCTCAACCCAGCCCAACTGGACAAGTTCATGCATCCGCTCCCTAAATTGAAACAGCCTACCGGAATATCACAAGCATCAACAATCAATTACGGAGGGAAGAGATTAAAGTCAGTCGCGCGCGAAACCATCGTGTCTTCCGTACGCACCCGATACGCCTGCCCCACACCCAAGCTCGCTCCCCGTGTTGTTCTCGGTTAAGACCCTATCCCCTTGTGAGGGCGAGGATGTTCCGTATGCGTGATTCGCTACGGATCAGGCTCAGGCTCAGGCTCAGGGTATTCTCCACCTCGGCAGCTCTCGCTCATCCCAGCCAAACCAACCTACTACCTTTACCACCACTACCAACCCGCACCCGCACCCGCAGATCAAGCCGGGCCCTCAGAATGTCATCAACCTACTTAAAGAACACGGCAGACCCCGTTGAGAGGACCTCATCACCCTATCCCGATCCCCGCGAAATTGGCCCCAAATCCAAGATCCTATCGTCCACCCGCACCTCCAATTACCACAGCAGCACAAACTCCAGAAACATGGTTACCGTCAGTACTGTGAACAAGACGGGTCTTCACCCCGGTGGAGTACAGTACGTACTACCTCCAGCTCTTCCCAAATCTGCCACTCCCATGTGATCCTGGAAATCCATCTCCATACACTCACTCACTACACGGAGAGACCAAACACAGACTGACTCCTTCATAGGCCTGTCAAGGAACACACCGAACTTGAGAATGAGCTTCACGACAAGGCGCACATTGATTACGACCGAGTAGCTATTGTCAGTACTCACCCACCCATATTGCCAATGCGTCCAGCAGCAGAACAGCATATACTAACTGCTTCGTGGCTACAGGTCCCCAATCCCAGTGTCGCTGCCCTCTACGAAGATGCCCTCGTTTACGAAACTGGTTCTGCCATCACATCTACTGGTGCCCTTACCGCATACTCTGGAGCAAAGACTGGGCGGTCACCTCTAGACAAACGAATTGTGAAGGAGCCTGGCTCTGAGAATGAGATCTGGTGGGGGTAAGCCAGCACAACCTCTGCGCCCGTTTGTGGATGCATTCTGACTTTACACAGACCTGTCAACAAGCCAATGACGCCTGAAGTAAGTTTGTTCTCTATAAACCATTCCCCCCCCCCCAGGACCGATGGATAGCATTCGGCCTGCGATTCCTTTCCGTCTATTCACTGCTGGCGGCTGGTGTCTCCGCGGCAACATTTCCCCATGCTCTTCCCATTCGATCTTTCATCACTGATGCCACTCTTCCCTCCGCATAGCAGTGGAGCTGAGATGGTATTGAGTTTGATTTGGCTGGGATATGCAACCCCGCATTCCACCGAGGGGTATACTGCGCTGTTATGTCATAGCTTGTACCCCACACGAAACCCGGCAACCAAACCCCCCTCCCCTTATCTTTGCATGTAGCGCCATGGCATATCACCTTATTTTGACGACAGACCTTGCGCACAACACGGGGCTAACCAGGTCTCGATAGGTCTGGAGAATCAACAGAGAAAGAGCCGTCGATTACCTGAATACCCGGAATCGTATTTATGTCGTCGACGGATTCGCAGGATGGGACAAGAAGTACCAAATCAAAGTTCGAGTTGTGTGCGCGCGTGCCTACCATGCTCTCTTCATGAGAAACATGCTCATTCGACCCGATCGCGAAGACCTCGAGCATTTCCACCCTGACTATACCATCTACAACGCCGGGTCCTTCCCTGCCAACAGGTATACTGAGGGTATGACCTCTGGAACCTCAGTTGCCATCAACTTCGCGGATAAGGAGATGGTTATCCTAGGGACCGAGTATGCCGGAGAGATGAAGAAGGGTTAGTAATTATCCCTATCCCTTTCAAATTTTTGTTTTCCTTGCCTGGAATCTGCCCCATATGTATTTTTCACCGCTCCGGTCTTCTCGCCCTTCTTTCCAATTTGCCGTCCGTGATAAAGGCATGCTCGAGGAATAATATAACACCATCAAATGTCTCCTACGGAATGTCCAGAGAAGAGAGGATCAGCACTGACCAGCAACCAGGAGTTTTCACCGTTCTCTTCTACGAGATGCCTGTCAAGCACAACGTTCTCACTCTTCACTCCTCCGCCAACGAGGGTAAGAATGGAGACGTCACAGTCTTCTTTGGTCTCTCGGGTACCGGAAAGACCACTTTGTCTGCGGATCCTAACCGTGCGTTGATCGGTGACGATGAGCACTGCTGGAGTGATCGTGGTGTCTTTAACATCGAGGGTGGCGTAAGTCTCCCCCCGAGCCTGTCGACGCATCCCTTACTGACTCTGGCTAGTGTTACGCCAAGTGCATCGGCCTTTCCGCTGAGAAGGAGCCTGATATTTTCGGCGCCATCAAGTTCGGTTCTGTACTTGAGAACGTAGTCTTCAGCCCCGAGACCCGTCTTGTTGATTACGAGGACTCTACCCTGACCGAGAACACTCGCTGCGCTTACCCTATCGAGTATATTTCGAACGCCAAGATCCCTTGCTTATCGGAAAACCACCCTAGCAACATCATTCTCCTCACCTGCGATGCTCGTGGTGTCCTCCCACCCATCTCGAAGCTCGACTCTGCACAAACCATGTTCCACTTCATCTCCGGCTATACCTCAAAGATGGCTGGTACAGAAGATGGTGTTACCGAGCCACAAGCCACTTTTTCATCTTGCTTCGCGCAGCCTTTCTTGGCCCTGCACCCTATGCGATATGCCAAAATGCTGGCTGACAAGATTGAGCATCACAAGGCCAATGCTTGGTTGTTGAATACCGGATGGGTCGGTGCTGGTGCCACCACTGGCGGAAAGCGCTGCCCTTTGAAATACACCCGTGCTATTTTGGATGCCATCCACTCTGGTGAGCTTGCCAAGGTCCAATATGAGAACTATGAGACATTCAACCTCGCTGTCCCCACGAGCTGCACAGGTGTCCCGTCAGAACTTCTCAACCCAAGCAACGCCTGGAGCCAAGGCGCCGAAAGCTTCAAGCAGGAAGTCACGAAGCTCGGTGGTCTTTTTGTCGAGAATTTCAAGAAGTACTCGAGTGAAGCCACACCCGAAGTCATTGCAGCTGGTCCAGCAGTAAAGGTCTAGGTATACACCCAGGGGCGCAACATTGAATGTGGGAACGTTGGACAAATCCAGACTGTATGACGGCGTTATCTTGATTTTGCTCTGTAGTATTATCAGAAGCATGTGGCAGAAGAATACAAGAATGTAAAATCGAAGCAATATGATGTCTCGGGCGTGATAGATACCCACTGTGATATCTCCCGGTCGCAATATAATTGTACTTAGACGAGATTGAGTCTGAGGGATCAAATTATTTCACGTAGCATGTTGCCGTCTTGCTGGAATGGGTCTTTTTTCCTATCAATGAATCCTTCCATACAGAAGATACTGAGGGAATTAATATGTTGACTTATAGATGGTATTTCAGGATTTCTCGGTCTCTGCTGACTTTATTACCCGACTGCTAGTGTGCCAAGCTTTGTCTAAAGCCGAGCCGAGACCAATGCAAATTCAATCCGGCGTCCCCCACGCTCAACCACGCCAGTTCCTTACTTACCACTTGAACATGAACACGCAATCATTGTCCTGCAGCTGAATCATTGACAGGCAAACCAAACAACGCAATGCCTTCTGAGCCGCCCCCTTCGCAATCACAGAACCGCCCATCATTCAGCAACCACCGTTCTACGAATTCCGTCCACAGCCAGACCGATTCGTCCGCTCAATCACCACCACCCACAACCCAACATGCGAAGCCCAAGACTCAGAAACACGTAGTCGGTGGAGGAGGACGAACACACGCGCGAGTACCATCGAATAAGGGCCTGCACAAGTTGACAAAGGCTCATGCTACTGAAGGTTCCCATACCGATCTGAAAAAGCTGGCCCGAAATTCGTCATCTTCGACCTTGAAGAAGAACTCTTCGGGTGTTAATCTGAGGCGCAATCGCTCTTCTATTGACGTACCCAAGCGTCCAAAGACACCTCAAGACCACATCAAGAGACCAACATCTGTACATTTTGAAATTGGAGATCAGGACGAGGCCTGGGAGAGCAGCTCCGCGTCGCCAGCGCTGTCCAGATCGGTTTCCAGACCTGCCAGCTCCCACTCCTCTGCGAAACCCAGCGCCGCCAATTCAGAGGCAAATTCACAACCACAATCACCTAGAGCAAGGAGTACTTCGAACTCTGCTATTAATAGGACGGAAGACAAACAATCTACACGCCACTCTGCAGACGCGAAAGTAATCACGGAGCGGTTACTACAGAGGGTCAGTTCCCGTAACACAACCAAGATGTCTCTCGCTACTGCAACCCCTTCCACTTCGACTTACACCCCCGATTCACCTGACAAGAGCCAGTCGTCTACAATCAATGGCACCCCAAACATCGGGAGTGGCCAGGAGGTCGTGTCTCGCTTTGTAGCCGGCTCCGGTACACCAAACGAAAACTTACCTTTTCTCCAAAGCCGAAAGAATGAGGGACGGGCTAAGGAAGCAAACGATGATATGAAGCGAGCTCAATCAATGGGCAACCTGACCAGACCAGACCTAGATTCAGAAGATGAGGAAGATAGCGTTCTGGCTCCCCGATCCAGGAAGTCTTCGACAGGAAACGCATACGTGCCACCCCAGAACTCGCGCACGCAGCAGAAGCTCTGGCTACAGAGAGCAAGTTCGAACATTGAGCCCCAGCAAATGGCATCCGGCGTGGCGATGAACGGTCTGGCGGGTCTGCACGGAGGATTAGGAGGTACCTCTCTTGTTGGAGGCGCAGGCTATGATGGTCGTGATCCCCGTATCAAGCTCCAGCTTGAGCGCACTGGCCTTGAGTACTTGGTTGTGAGACGGCACCAAGATCCCATCGGCCAAGCCATCAAGCGCCTCAACCAGCTGCCCGGCGTGGAGAAGAGCCGCAGGATACCCAGCCATCCTACGAGAGCCGGTGAGAACATCGGTCGCCACGCCCTGAGCCAGAACCTGAAGGAGTCGAGGGGCAGGGTCCAGAAGACGAACGGGAGCTACGAGGGGCAACCTACGAGTCCGGAGGATGGCCACGCGAGTGATCGAGGCAATGATGGTAATGGACACGGCTCGCGGCTGAGGGGTTTATGGGATAAGAGCTATGATCTTGCCGCGAGCACCGATTGAGAGGAAGCAGATTATTATGGGCCTTTTGCTTCGCGTACATGTTTTTTTTTCTTTTTCTTTCACGATTGACTGCGTTGGCGTTGGAGGAAGGGAGGGGAATATGGATGGATGGAACGGGCTAGAGATGACATGATTTGCTGGCTGGCGCATCGGGGCGAGGAAGAGCAGACATTCCTCGGTTTGCTAAGACCTTTTAATGACGGTATAGAGGATAGTAGCTAACTCTCACAAGCGAAGCAATGAATTGCTCACTCTGTATCATATGGGGTTCATGCTTGAAGTGTTTTCCGTTGTTTTTGTAATTCATTGCAGAGCTTAAATTTCACTTCCCTCGTCTTCTTTCCACTACTTGAACGGGGATCCCCCCATCCCCGACGACCCTTTTCCAGGCGTCCAGCCGGCGCTGAAGGCCGAACTGCTTGACCCAGGCGTGAGACCAACCGGCTTCTTTACTGGCGTCGTAGGGTCCGACGCAGGCGCAACAAGTCCGCCTCCCTCGGGCGTCAACTCCGGCGTCTCCGTCCTCTCGATGAGATGGCCATCCTTCTTGGCGGCGGGCGCCTTGAACCCCATGAGCCTGCCGTCCTTGTAGATGTCGTCAATCATGAGCTCCAGGATCCCCGCGTCTTGGAACTCCAGGTACTTCTTGAAGAGCTTCAGCGCCGTCCGCGCGTCTTCGATACTATCGTGCGTGCCGATCTGGATGTCTTCCTTGAGCAGGTACGAGGCGAGGAAGGAGAGGGAGAGCAGGCGGCGGTTGGAGGTGCTGTAAAAGAGGTCGATTGTGTCGATGACTTTGCTCTTCGGGATGTGCACATTGAGAACGCGGAAATCCTGTTTGAGGCCGTGACCTAGAAACTTGCAGCCGAGGTTCAGCAGGATCCAGAGTTTCTTGTAGACAACTTTTAGTGCCACGAGGTTATGTTTGGAGACGCCGACGTCGAGGTCGCCTTGACTGATGCCGGAGTACTCGGTCAGGTAGTCGACGACGGTATCTCGGATATGGATGTAGTCGTCGATGAAAGGGAGACCCTCGTCCTCTCCGGAACATCTGACTACGGAGACTCGGGCAAGTGCGTGAACTGTCGGTCTCACGGTTGTCCGGTCACCCTTGGCGTTTACTTCTATCTCTGGCCGCCTCACAGATACAAATTCTGTATCGAGTGCGATTATCGTCCCCTCAGTCGGGGCTTCCTGTGGGAACGCAAGAGGCCGATATGTTTTTACTGAATTAGGGCTAGTGCTGTTAGTTATGATTCTTTTTGCTAGAGAGAGGATGAAAATACTTGGAATCCATGTAGAGTAACTGTGTATCTAGATTTTGCTTCCAGCCATCATCAATCTTGTTGTTGTATGCCTTCATCTGATATGTGATCACAGAAGGCAGTTTCCAGGTTGTATTGAAAGTGAGGGCTTCCGCTGCCGTAATAGGCCGGACGAGGAAGTCGTTGAAGAGATGCCATTGGCTCTTTTCTGGTCTTTTGGGGAGGGAATGTGCCACTATAATATATGAGCTCTGCCAACACCTTCCCTTGGAAAGTGGTTTTCTTTAACTTACCGTTTACCAGCGAGACAAGATGTGGTTTTTGGTTGAGGCCACTGGTAATTTCGGTGGCAACTCCAACCAGAGAGTACACGGCAATACTATGTATCCCGCGCTGAATGTGGAGCTTTAAATCATCTCCTTGGTAGCAGAATAATTGTCCCTGTGGGTCAATAATAATGCCGATTTCTTCAGGTAACCACCCCGGTATAGCCCAAAGTTGTTTGGCCTCGGGGCTATTGACTGCGGCATTGAGCATGAGGACAGCAGGCACACTATGAACGGTCTTCTTCGTTGCTAGGGACTGGTAGCGCTGGCAGCGACTGCACCAGCCTCGGCTCGTCGAATCACGTTCAATACTTGACTTGAGAATCTGAGAGAAAGACGGTCTTTGGGGTCTCGCATTCCGCATCATTGGCTTCTGTGCTTGTTAGTCTTGAATTTTTTTCGAAACACGGGGAACACCTACGGATAGCGGGTACAGAAGCTCATTGACAAATGTTGCTCCAGGTCTAGTATGCTCGCCTTGGCAATGGATGCAACGAATTCCAGATGTTGCGGAGGTAGTCAAGATCTGGCGAAGACAATTAGCAGGGACCAAAATCATATAAATGGATAGTTGTACTTGATCAAATATGTGGTTATGTGGGACGATCGCCTTCCAGTCCTGAGTGATTCTGTCCAGCAAGAAACGATTTAGTCCTTGCAACATTGTTGTTAGAGAGGATCCTGGGGCATCCTCTTCAAGTAAACCAAGAGGTCTAGCTATTCCCAAATCAGCACACATAAAGTTTAAATGCTGGAGTTTTGTACCTTGTGTCTGGTAACTAAAAGTTTTCAGAAAGTTAGTAGCCTGGCATGTAGAACCTTCGGCTCTCTCAAGCATATCGAATAAGAATCCCATCTCGCAAAGTAAGCATAGCTCGTTTGCACATCTAGTAGCAGTGTGCTGCAAAGCAAGGTTCCGGACGAGAGGGGTGAAATGAAGAATCTGCAGTAGGGAGTTGGCGTATGAGTTTGGTATGTGGATTTCCAAGCCGGAGTACCGTGTTTTGTTGTAATACCTGGAGTTTGGTTAGAGCAATCGGCCAAGCGTCTTTCGGACTTCAGAACTTGCCCGAAGTCGAAGTCATCCACTCCAAATTTGCTATATCTGATTTCCACGTTCTCGTACCATACGGGAACATCTGCCTTCATGCTCAACAGCTCAGTGGCTCCAATCACATCTGAGGTGCTGGAAGAGTCACTAGGTCTTCGTTCCCCGGAACCATCAGTGGAAGTCTCACGAGCCTTTTCACTTAGGAATTTGGGAGCTTGCAAACTGGAAGGCGTTTTCTCGATTTCTCTGGTATTCTCAACCTGGTATCTCTTGGTAGCTCGGTTGTTTCGTCCATACATACCCCAGTCAGTGCATTTCAAGGTGGATAGAAATAGCTGGTCTGATTTTGGAGGTGGAGCTCCAACCTCAAAGATTAAGTGGCTGGGCCAATTCGATAGCAATTGCTCGCGATAGTAAGGCATCCCGACACTACTTAGGGGGCTACATGTGGTCAGCAAAGCTTCGATTTCCGAGGGATGTACTCACGTATTTGAGCTCCAATCTACTTCAGGGGGGGCTTCGGTTGCGTCGGCAAGTTCGATCGGATTGCTAACATCCCCAAAACGCATCCTAGAAGGCGATCCCCACAAGTGGATGTGGCATTCAGTATCAGCAATCACCAATGCCTCTCCAGAGGGTGCAATTTCAATCTTGCTGATGAAAGCCATAGTATTTAGTTGCTTGATATAACTCGAGTTTGGGTTCATCAGGTCGACTATGTGCATTTGGCCATGCTGGGAGACTACAATTACTGTTGTTGACATGCGCGGGTGCATTCGTAAATATGCTGCCCCAGCAGGAAACGGCACAGGACTCGATGCAGCCATGTGCTTCAAGTCAAAAACGTTGACCATGACATCCAAGATATATGGCTGTCCTTGTCGAATCTGGTATCCGCAACAGACTATGTAGTCATTCTGTGCGTCCATGTCATGGATGAGTGAGGAGTGGGCGTTCCAGACTTTGACGATGCGGAAGTCGGCTGGGTCAATGATATTGATGGTACCTTTCTGGGTAGCTGCACAAATGTAGCGGCTTCGCCTCATAATGGTGTATTTATCAGTCGTAGGTAGCTGATACAATTAGTAAGAGATTCGGCAGGAAACTCGATTTCTCTAGTACCTTACCTGTTTCACGATGGTACCCTTTTCCACGTCTATGACAAACATATGGTCTTGCAATCCAGCCACCAGAATCTCTAGATTTCCCTTATTCGTATAACTCATGCATCGAAGATCTTTCATTTCATTGTGACTATGCAAATATGTATCAGCCTTGTTCTCGGCAAACTGGTATTGACTTTCATACGTGACATGCCAAATTGGAGGACCCCGTCGCATTGCCATATGCACACTCTTCGGTCCCAGAGCGATGACCCCCTTTTCATGGAACAGAAACTGGTGGACCGGGCCATCTCCGCATTTGAAGGAAGTGTATCTTGCGAGTTCTACTCCGTAAAAGCTCGAGACGCCCCCAAACTGGTTCCCAGCCCAGAGCAATTCCTGCGAGTTGTCGAATGCGAATGTTGACACGGGTGTCGAGGGCGCTTGAGGCCCAGGAGGCGGAAGGAGCAGGCGCCCGACCTGTAAGAGAGGATTGTTAGCAGTCTATCAAAATATGAAGCTCTCAAGGAGGTCGAGGGTCGAGGGTCGAGGGTCGAGGGTCGAGGGTCGAGGGTCGAGGCTGACAGCCCGCGTTGAAACTTTGGGAAATGGGGCACCTGTCATGTCACCGAGCCGCGCACGAGCAGGATAACAGTATATATTGAAAACTCACTTCCTCCCATTCGCCATCCATCGAGTCTGATCGGTCGCGCTCTACGCGATCATGGTTCCATGGGCGTTCGACAGTGCAGAATCTGGGTCGCCCTCCGCAAGCAGTTTAGTTGATGTTGGGCGGTGTTGAAGTCTTGGCGGATATGCCAGCCTTACGGAATGCTTATGTTGCACGCACCTCTGAATGAGCTTTTATTTTTCCATGTCTTTCACACCGGGAGTAGATTCGCCTTCACCATACCATCGAGGATCAATCACCCTCAACAAGGGAGATTCACTTATAAAGATGTGCATCCTGTACAACCAACTCATGATGCATGCAGCCATGCCTTGCCCTGCCCTGCCAGGACCCGAACCACATCTCGATTCCCAACCTTAATTGCCACACTCTCAGCGTCTCATACCAGTCAATGGGATGACAACTTTTGTTTGAAGAACATCCATCTTATCCGTACTTATCCGCTATAACTACAGTCCCTGGCCCTCGGCCTTCTTCTGTTTATCAAAACCTGCCTGCTTCCTTCGAATATCATTGCCCGTTCTCCCCTACCTGAGATTACTGAGCCTGAACTACAATTAATACGCGGCGCTGGCAGCTCTCAACCACGTCATGAATTTCTACGACCAAAACTTCCTTCTTCTGGTGACAGGCTGTGGGGCCCTCTCTTGGAGACAGTGTCACAGTAAGGAACAGTCACCGGAGGAAAAAGCTCTGAACCAGCCTCCGGTCACTCCAAGAGCACAGGCCGAAGCGAGACAGTTTACGAGATTATTTCTCATTGTGTACTGTCTGGTGATGGGGTCAGACTGGTTGCAAGGTACGCCGAATCCAGCGACCATGGATCCTCGACTGACACGTTGCAGGCCCGTATGTATATAGCTTATATAAGGACCAATTCGGCCTAAGAGAGACTATAGTAGCAGCCCTATTCACAACAGGGTTCCTCTCCGGAGGTATCTCCGGATACTTCGTTGGTCAGTTTGCGGATCGATATGGACGCAAGGTAGCCTGTCTAGTCTTCTGCATCACCTACTCTATAGCATGCTTCTCGACTCTCATTCCCAGCGTCCCAGTCCTCTTCTACGGCCGTGTCTTTGGCGGCCTCTCAACCAGCCTGATGTACAGCGCCTTCGAAAGCTGGATGGTCACCGAATACCACAAGAGACAGACGGAGAGAACCGGCTCCAGTTTGAGTGGAATGTACGGCATCATGACCACGTTAAACAGCATTGTCGCCATCTTGTCAGGTGTATTTAGCGAGTGGCTCGTGAACGTTACTAATACCAAGCGCGCGCCTTTCATGGCGAGCGCAGTACTGCTCATCGTAGCATTCTGGATCATCCTCCTCTGCTGGAAAGAAAACTACGGCGACAGCCACAATACGTCGGAAACCTCGACCGTCGTCCACAAAGACGCGCTCAAGACATTCTTCACCGACAAGCGGATCTTGACGCTAGGTCTCGCGTCGTGTTTCTTCGAGGGCAGCATGTACCTGTTCGTTTTCTTCTGGACACCCGCTCTGAAGGCCGCGCAGACGCTTGCTGGCTCGCCGGCTCTCCCGCTCGGAATGATCTTTGCGTGTTTCATGGGCTCCGTCATGCTCGGCTCTCTGGCCTTCAATCTCCTCGTCACAAAATACAAACTCATCTCGCACTCGCGCCTCTTGACCATCATCTTCGCCACGGCCAGCAGCAGCCTTCTGATTCCGGTTATCGTCCAAAATGAAGCATTGACGTTTTGGAGTTTCTGCGTCTTCGAAGCATGTGTGGGCATGTACTGGCCCAGTGTCGGGTACCTGAAAGGCCGTTTCATCGATGACGGGATCCGTGCGAGGATTTATGGGATGTTAAGGATCCCTCTGAATATTTTTGTGGTCGTTGCATTGTCATTGATCAAGGAAGGGACGGATTACAGGAATTTGGTATTTATGACTTGCAGTGGGTTGCTTGTCTTAACGTCGGGCATCTTTCAATATTGTGTCAGCGATTAAGTAACGAATGCGAGGAGCTCGAGGCGGTAGGGGCTTAGTCTCGTAAGTGGACGAATTGGTTGAAAGGCAATCTCGAGATTGTTGTTATAAAAGGCATATTATCTACCTTTGCAACGTGCCATCCATCTACTCCCCCGCTCCAAAAATTCAATGTTTGAGATCGATAGCCCCGAACTCGGCGCCAGAGGGAACGCGAAGCTCATCACAAATACTCCCAGCCGCATACTCCATTGCGAAAAAGAAAAAAAAAACGACGCATATCCATCCCTAAGCTCCGGAGCCCCCTCATAAACACCATTAAAGTATGCAATGGAAGAGAGACGTCCCGTAGATATTCACCCACTTTGGTCGAGTGTCTGACGGCATTCAGGCATTGAGACCAGGGTCAGACTTCCTCCATCTGCCCTGCAGGCTCCTCATGCTCCTCGTCCCCGAAGCTTCCCACCGAAGACATGTCATCATCGTCGTCCGTCTCAGCACCGGCCTCGTCGGCAGCCTCCCTGCTGGCATACTTAGCCACATATTCTGCAACGCGTCAGCAATCTTCCGAGCCTCCATTGTACCACTTGTAACACACCCTTGACTTTAGCATCGTAACTCTTCGGTTCCCGCATCAGTAACGCCGCAGCCTCGCCATTCAATGGATCGGTCGGATTCGGATATCGTAGGAGTTGCGGGAGGAAGACTTCGAAGATGTTGATCATGTCGAACATGGGGGACCAGGTCTGATTGATAACGTCGAGGCATACGGAGCCGGATCTGCTTCTGAGTCAATAGATGGCCCTCCGCCTCGGAGAAAACGTACAACTCGTCGATGTTCGGGTGGAAGATGCGGTTCACGAAGCCGATGCTGGGGGACTTGTAGGGGTATTGGTCGGGCAGTTCGACGTGGACCTTCCACAGTCCACCTTCGAATGGTGCTGTATTGTGTCAGAACTCTCCCAGACTGTAGATCTGCTGCCCAAACTCACTCTCCTTAGGCCCCTTGAATCGAACGTAGAACTCCTGCCTATTTCGGATCTATCAATATCATGTAGAATCGTCCCGAGTCGAGGGGAGGGCATACACTGAAGAGCTGTCAGTGTTCAATCGGCAGATTCGGACGGGCAGATTACTTACTGTTGTCATTGACCAGAGTGACTTCGTAGTCGCTCATCAACCTGATGCTAATAAGCCTCTTTCGCCTTCACCCATGTTCGATTTGGAGCGCAAGTGCTTACATCCTACAGGCAGTAAGTTAGCATGGCATTCGCAAGTGAGCAATGATGCAGTAAGGTTTGACTAACTTCATGACCTATTAACCACGCATTACCAGTCAGCCTCGGCCACTCTTCTGTTCAAGGTCCATTTCATGTGCTTCACTCACATCCGTCTCGATACGTCGGCGCGGGGAAGACATCTTGGCCTTGTGTACTTGGGTTGGGTGCTGGTTAGGTAGTAGGTTTTTGTTGTCACTGTCAGGTCTGCAGGAAGTGAAAATGGAATATCGAGGTCGAGGTCGAGGTCTAGTGCCTCCAAGGGGCGGAGGACCAAGGATCAAGGCCGGAGCGTTATTTCCACTTGCTTTGTGCCAGAGGCGGAATGCGAAGAATGACGAAAGAGGAGAAAGCGGGGGGGAAGCGGGGGGGGGAGGAGGGGGAGGCTGTTATCGCTGCAGGAAGGCGTTATCGTTTCCGAGTCCAGTCCAGTCCAGTTCAGTTCCGATTCGGCTACGCCCGATCAGTTCAGAGGGACGGGTCGGGCGGTCTTTAATGGTGGAAACCGGAGTCTGCGGAGTCTACGGGGTCGGGGTTTGCAGGGTCGATGGGGTCGATGGGGTCGATGGGGTCGACAGAGTCCACTATCAAGCCCGCTCGAGCCGTCGTATTTATTGTCCCTTGGCTCAAGCGACGGCCGGGAATGGTCAGATGCACGGATCCAGCCGACTTACTTAGCCACAACAACGCACGTGGTCTCACTCACTCACTCACTCACTCACTCACTCAATCACTCAATCACTCACTTACTCACTTTACTGATAGGTATCAAACCCCGAGAATCATGTCAAGTACAACTACCTATCAACGGACAGAACCCGCCGATACCAGAGACCTGCCACCTCAACAGCTCCGAGCATGAGCGCCAAACATCGATTCCGGAAGTAAACAGATAGCATCGAGCGTCCTCTCAAAGACAAAGAACATCCCCGAGCCCGTGATCAAAACTATAAACAGTCTACTTTAGTCTGCCGAGGCAAGATCAGGCTTTCCAACGTCAGTATAGGATATAGAATCAACTGCGTTGCGTGAATCACGACCCATCGATTCTGACCACCAATTCCCCAACAAAATGCCCTTCGTCTCAGTCATTCCTGTCATCACACTTTGCCACCTGCCGCCATGTCAACCGCATCCTCCCTCCTGAGGGGCTCTTATGCCTTTCAACGAACAGCCTCTTCCGCTGCCAAGTCATCATTCTGTTCTCGGTTTCAGTGCAGGAATAGCTCACATGGCCCGTATGCACCTCTGCCCACGCCGAGCCAACTTCCAAGAAAGAGAATCACGCTCAATTCGTTGCGGTCTTTGTACAAAAAGGGAGAGCCGATTACCGTCTTGACGGCTCATGACTTTCCTAGCGGCCATATTGCCGATGCGGCGGGGATGGAGATAGTTCTTGTGGGAGACAGCCTTGCAATGGTAGCGCTGGGAATGGAAGACACTAGCGAGGTTTTGGTGGAAGAGATGTTGCTTCATTGTCGTTCGGTAGCGAGAGCCGCCAAAACATCATTCACTGTATGTATCTATGTGACCTCTAAATACAAACAAACACCATACTGACGCTCAGTGCAGGTTGGAGATCTTCCCATGGGATCATACGAGATCTCGCCCAAGCAAGCTCTAGAAACTGCCATCAGGTTCGTGAAAGATGGTCGCATGCAAGGCATCAAACTTGAGGGTGGCCTGGAAATGGCCCCAACCATCAGGAAAATCACGACAGCCGGTATCCCAGTCCTGGGCCACATAGGTCTGACACCACAACGCCAGAACGCTCTGGGCGGATTTCGCGTCCAGGGGAAGACATCAGAAGGTGCCATGAGAATCCTAGAAGATGCCTTGGCGGTCCAAGAAGCTGGATGTTTCGCAACGGTCATCGAAGCTGTCCCTCAGGAAGTTGCAGCCTTGATCACAAAGAAGCTTTCCATCCCAACGATCGGTATTGGGGCTGGGAATGGTTGTTCGGGCCAAGTGCTGGTCCAAGTCGACATGACCGGGAATTTTCCTCCGGGTCGCTTCATCCCGAAATTTGTAAAGAAGTACAGTGATGTCTGGAGCCAGAGCTTGAAAGCTATCAAATCTTATAGAGACGAGACGAAGAGTCGAGCGTACCCCGCACCAGAGCACACCTACACGATATCCAAGGAAGAATTAGAGGAGTTCGAGCGTGTGCTGGAGGCAAAAGTTATCTGAATCTGTACACAGGATGGTACCTGTCGTGCCCGCGAGCTGGTTCGGCCTTGTATCTATAGTATGTAGCATTGCTGGCGTTGGAGGGCCTTAACATTACTGTTCTTCACGTTTCGGTGGCAGCAGTCTGCGATCTGAACCGAGCCTGTTTCCAGCATATGTCATCCAAAAGCCGGTGTCATCGAATAGGTAACAACGAGTTGATCCTTGGAATCCTTGAAGCACTGCCAACCCACATCAGCAAAACTCACACACATCTCCAACAGCACAATCCATCCACTCACCCTGTGTAGATTCCCCACGACCTCATCCAGTGCCGGCGCAAAGCTAGAATTGACATACAAAAACACGCTCTCCGCCTCTGCCACCTTCAGCGTCCTCCGCAAGTACGTAACCACAACCTCAAACCTCTGCGCGCTCGATATCTTGCAGACCTGGTTCCGCAGTGACGGCGCGCTTCCTACAGGCTTGAAGTGGACTGCGATTTTGGGTTTGGGGAACTCGCCGGCGGAGGACAGGGCTGTGGCTGCGTCGCGAGGCAGAGCCGTCAGAATCATGGACGAGGCAAGCGTGAGGGGAATGTCGGGTTCTTGCTGCGCGGAATCAGGGATGGCTTCAGGGGGCGTGCCGGATATGGAGAGGGTGGGCGATGGAGAAGACATTTTTAAGATGGTGTGGTGTTGAGGAAGAGAGAGGAGAAGCTGAATATCTGGTTGTCGCAAGGCTGAAAGCTGTGAAATGGCAGAGGTCCAAGACCTGGTAACCAACCAGTACGGGGTCCAGGCGTTAAATCGGATTCTGTCCGCCTCAAGACGCAAATAATCTGGATTTGTTCCACAATAGACCATATCTCAATTCCAAGTCAACAGATGCTTTTAAGTACAGGATGGACTGTCCATGGGCACACATATGGTACATAATATTAGTATAAGACATGAATCAATTTCTCAAAGCTTCAATGTCCACAACCTCCTTCACAGCTTCCGTTGTCAGAACCAAGGGCGAATCGTCTTGGACACAAACACTGTCTTCTATGCGTATACCCATACCCCGGAAATGTGCTGGCCATCGCTCATCGTCTGGAACATAGATGCCTGGCTCCACTGTAACACAGTGGCCAGCCTTTAGTGGGACTGATCGAGAATATCCCGGGCAATCATGCACATCTAGCCCAATGTAGTGGCCAACATGGTGCGGAAAGAGGGTATACATTGCATCGCCTTTCATGTCAAATCCTAGCTGTTTGAGGGCTTCTTTCAAGCCATGCTCAGTGACTTCATGTATCTTATCCAAAGTCATGTTGGCACTTTCCCGGCACAGTGACACGCTGCTCCTTTGAACTCGAAGTATGGCTTCGTAGAGATCCTTCTGGGCATCCGAGAACCTTCCATTGATCGGCCAGGACCTCGTGATATCTGCGATATAACCTCCATACTCTCCACCAGCGTCCACTAAGACAATTTGGCCATCGTGGAGGACGTTATCATTCCGGACATAATGAATTGCCAAGGCATTTCGGCCTCCGGCAATGACCGGTATGTATGCAGTGGTATCACAGCCGTTGCCCTTGAAGTCGTAGTCCAGGAAGGCCCCCAAGTCTTTTTCCCTCGTCCATCGGTGGCGCATTGCATTGGTGATCGCCCTCCCTGAATATTTACCAGCCAATCTCAGATTGGCAATTTCGGCTTCACTCTTGATGACCCTTAGCTCGTGCATTAATGGCTTTAGCGACTTGACTTTGCTGTCCTTGATCATTATCTGGAAGTCAGTCGGTAGTGCATCCTGTTTCCGAAGGAAACGTCCAAAGCCAGAGTGCTTTGTCACATCGGTGTAGACCTCACTTGCCCCTGATATTAGTGGTGGGAGGAGGGCGTGCAAACGGTTGATGTCTCCAGACTAATTTTTATCAGCACTTGCTCAAAAATTATCGGCTGGTATGTCGACGGACCTCATCTGCGTTGAACACGTCCAGTGCCGCTTGTTCACCGGATCTCGCTCCTTCCCACTGCTCTGCTTTTGGATCTTTGGGCCGTAGGAAGAGGTGGAAAATATATTCTGATGATGGTCCGACTCTTTGAATCACTGCTACCGCGTCTGGCTCGTTGAATCCAGTTAGGTATAGAAAGTTTGGTTCCTGGTGAAATTCATAGAAGACGGCTCCTGATCTATACTTTGTATCGGAAGATGCTAGAATTGCTATGCCATTGGCGGGTAGGCTCGCAGCAAGCCTCGATCGACGGTCTGCATATTCTTGGGCTGTGATACCAGCAGTAACTGGGATCATAGTCAGTGATGCATTGTCGAAGCCAGAGATAAAGCATACTCTCTCCTGGCTTTAACAAATGCGGATGTGTCTCATAGACGGGCTGGCCAAATTGAAGATCTGCCGCGGATACGGTTGCATATGTTCTTTGCGGATGAGATGCCACATGGGTCCTCGACGCGGTGGCAGATGCAAGGAGTCCTCGTGGACGCGCGGGTGAGAATACTTTGCGCAGTTGCTGCAATCCGGATCCTCGCAGCTTCATGGCAATGCATTCACTTCTGCGAAGGTGCGGGTAGGGAGAGGGAGTACTTCGTATGGGGAATAAGGCAGCGCGCTTCAATTCATGGTCTCAATGTGATGTGGAGTCAGGGACGGGCTAGGGTCGGCGCGGGCGTTGGCCGGCCGAAAACAGTACCTACCTATGGCGCGTCTGATTTTTGTGGGACCCACTTCTTCTTCCCATCACCACCACCCACACATCTCTGCTTGTTTACTGTACACAACTCCACCCTCATCGTGTTTTGTTCTACTCCACACCCGGGATCAACACACTACAGCTTATTCACTTCACGCTCCTTGACTTTGTACTCGCGCCCGCCGCCCAGTCAATCCGAGTAACGCATCATCCTTCCCAATGTCTTTATAATTCTCGCCCGCAGCTGGTCGACCGTGTCGCGTGGTACCCCCCACTCCCTCACTCTCTTTCGAGGCTGCTGGAAGTTGTACGGCTTCTTATGGCAGCAGTATTGATATCAAGCTCTACTTACTTACCCATAACGTGTCCACAATGTCGTCCAAGAGAGTCCCCTTGTCGAACAATCCCCATGCCGTCAATTCTCCATACAGATCCGCCGCTGGAGCTGCATCCAAGCCAAAGCGAGCCTATGCCACCATCCAACGCGAAGAGGCTTACGGCCAGCCTCCACCTGCCAAAAAGCAGATGCTCGACAATCACCCAACTCTAAGGACCCCACCTCGGCAACAAATTACTCAACCATCGGCGGAAGGACGGGTATTTACTCGGAGGTCGAATATCACCCAGCAGTCGGCTTTTGAGCGAAAGCTTGTGGCGGCACGGGAGAGACCTCAACAGGTCATCACCAAGGTGGAGAAGACATCAGAGGAGAACTTGGAGACAATCAGACAATGGCAAAAGCACTATCGGAAGATCTTCCCGAACTTCGTGTTCTACTTCGAAAGTGTACAGGAGGATGTTCGCGTTAAGTGTACGAAGCAAGTTATTGCGCTTGGTGCAGTAAGTACCTCATGTTGATACCCCTATACTGCTATAATTTTGACATGAACACAGCGCGAAGAGAAGTTCTTCTCTAATGCAGTGACCCATGTCGTAACGACCCGGACAATTCCACCTGCTCAGCAGACCAGCTCGACTGATACTCGCATCACATCCTCCACAAATGATTCTCAGTCCGGCCAGGCTCAGACTATCAACCCTTCACTCCTTGATCGATCATCAGAATCAGCAAATGAGCTGGGGGGCCGGACCAAGTTCACATTTGACGCGCCGGTCAACAGAAGAACGGCAACCCACAGTCACGATGGGGAGGTAAAGAAGCAGCAAGTACGAAATGCAGATGTTCTGTACAGAGCTCGGGAATTGGGCATGAAAATTTGGGCACTTGAAAAGCTACAACGAATGATGACAACCATGTTTGATACAGAGACAGGATACCAGGCCGCCCATGGACACAACACCAGGAGTAACTCGGTATCTACGACGATCCCCAGAACGACTCGTCAGACAGATCTCTCACAGCTCCTCCGTAATGAAAGAATCAATGGGCCTTCTGACCGAGATCCTACGGTCGCCACCAAGGAAATCACCTTGTTCAAGGGTCCATTTATTTATATCCACGATATTGATGAGAAGCAACGGCCGATAATGGTTCGAGAATACAGCAAGGTAGCTAACAAGGAACATGGTGACTGGCCTCAATTTCGTAGCGTTGCCCATGGCAAATGTCCGTTTGTCGAGGAAGTCGATAACAGCCGACGAGAAGCCGAGAAAGAAGACAAGTTGAGACTTCAAAGGCAACAGGAGAAGGAGAAGGCTATGATTCCCAGGACACGCGCCGCGGCCGCATTTCAGGCCGCTAAGATGCAGCCGCCAAAAGCTATCACTGGCAAACGGACTCTATCCGAAATGGACAGTGCTTCGAATCGCGGGGTCACTGTCTCAACCAAGCAAATTAATCCCTTTGCTCCAAGCAATGGCTCTTTGTCTCACGACATAGATCAAGAAGCTTCTTCCAGAGGTAACGCTTTCGTAAGTCGGGCAGGTGTAGGCCGTTTGTTCGGAGGAGAACCTGTGGCGTCTGGTCTGCAACCTTCAAATATTACATCGGCAATTCGGTCCACAGTGATCTCCTCAACAGCGGCCCAGCCAGGAGCTAAGGCTGGAACCAGCAAGGAGGTTCATGGCCTCCAGAGAAAAGTCCTGGAAAAGAACAGTGGAGGGCCTGCATCTTACAACGGTCCGAGCTCTCACCGTATGACAGATGCTAACGCCACCGCGAGAGAGGAAGCTGTGAACAAGCCCTCGAAGATAAGAGGAAGGGACAAGCTCAGCTTGATTGAAGAGGATGTGAACCCATCTGAGACTGAGCGGCATGCGAGAAAGGTCGAGGCTACTCGGAAAGCCAGGGCAGCTCACCAGAGAAAAGTGCAGAAGCGGGATCCCAAGCCTGGATACTGTGAGAATTGTCAGGACAAGTTTGATGACTTTGACGAGGTATGGTCCCCTAATCGTATGTTCATCTTCATGCTAATTAGTCCCCCAGCACATCTTGTCCAGAAAGCATCGCAAATTCGCTGAGAAGCTAGAGAACTGGACCGAGCTCGATGCCCTCCTAGGCCAATTGTTACGACCACGCCGCCACAAGGATGTGTGACACTAGTCTCTGTTTCTCCCATGACCATATCCTGCATCATCACCTCTTGAGAGTTCGGTACTGTGACGGATCCAGCTCTTGGGGTTACCCCGGGGAATCTCAGCGTATGATGCACCTTACATAATCTCTAATTCCGGCGGCGTCTTGAGTATCGGGAAAATGGTGTTTTTGCGGTACGGGTTTGTTCGCCGCGTACTTTGTGAAAGTTGCCGTTGCTGTGCGTTTCTTCTTTTCTTCGCTTCGCGACTATACCATACCAAGCATTCGACGCATTTCAGCAAGGGTTTGCATGCATCTGGGGCAGGAGCGGGCATTGACACCGTTTTTTTATTTTGAGAACCTTGGCATTTACACTGGCGTCTTCTTGTCTTGGTTCATGTCTGGGAAGGGTCGTTCGGTCTCGTTCAGAGGGATTTCGGATGTGCCTGCTCACGTGGGCGCTCCGTGTATGTTGTGCCCGCAGATGGAGCGAGCCGGTGATGAGGAAGGGAAAAGGGCAGTTTGTTGTAATCTTTCTGTGTAGATACAATATGATGTGGTCTTTTCTTCTGGAAGGCAACTGAACTCTGAACCCGGCCTTGACAGTCACTGAGTCACACTTTCTCGGATCTCCGGCCGGACGCTCTCCTCGGTATACCACCCCTCTCCCCATTGCTCTTCTACTACCTCCCTACCGTACCGTAGGTCCCTCGATCTTGAATGCTGTCATGGATTGTCCTTCTCGATCGATCCCGCAACAGCGAGGGGATGGACCCGCTCGTCACGGACGGAGACCTCGGAGGCTGGGACCGGTCTCCACACTCTCTTCTCGCTGAAAGGGATTTGATTTGATGAATCGTACCCGTACCGCAGCCGGGTCATCGTCGAAGACTTGAAGGATGAATGGCGGCGGCCCCTCTCAGCGAGCCGACGATTCGTTGTCTATCGCGTCCTACGTCCAGATCACGAGGTGGAATATGGAAAAGAGAAAAGAGAAAGAAAAAAAAACCGCCCCCTATTATTAGATTTGGGAGGATGCAAGGGGGTCGATGGCTCTGTTCTTGTTCTTTGTTTATTGTTTCTTGCTATCTCTCCGCTCTCCTCTATTGGGTTAGGGAAAAGGAGGCGGCGGGACCCACGAGATTGGATGGGATTTGTTTTTGGGGTGTGGCGGGAACGTGGGATATGAGGGTGTGGGACCAGGCGACCAGGCGACCAGGAGACCGACCAGGCGGCGGTTTATCTACGGTATCTGAGCGTGGCTGATGTTCTGGAAGGGGTCTTGTACCTACTTGTACAAGTAGGTACTACTGTACAGTAATACAAGTACGTGCTGCGGTACGTGGATAAGGCAGCTGCTTCTAGAAGGGGGGGTCCGTGGTCTACGGGTACAGTACAGTAGAGTCATGTCATTTCTTATGCAGGTACGCGATTT